TCGAGAGCACAGGACACTGAAAAGGCTTTACCTGTAGCTGCACTCCCCTCTTGTCCTCATTTTCCACATGCAGGCGAATCCGAGCAAACTTCTCATCGGCAATGTGCAGCATGATCATGCCGTGCAGCTCCATGCTCTGCAACCCTCCGTCGCGGCCGCAAGTCAGGGAGATTTTCTCCTCTATTTTCATGTGCACACTAGACAGACAGACAGACAGACAGAAAGTAGGTGTCGCAAGTGCTGTGCTTGGCAGCCAAGAGGCCAGGTGAGAGAGCAGTGCTCAGCAGGGAAGGCTGCACATGAGCCGGAGCTCCCAGGAGCAGGATGGCCCCAACGGAGCAGCACGGAGGGCACAGCAGATGCTAACGCTGCTTCCACAGGTCATCGCCAGAGATGCGAGTCTGCCATGGCTGGAAGCCCACATGAAGAGCAGTGATGCAGCATCTCAAGGAGCTGTTCACCCAAAAATCCTCTGCTGACACGAGCAAAGCTCATGGCACTAGAGGCTTCTGAACTGCTATATATAAAATTATCTATGAACGTGGCCACCCCAAGCCACAATTTGGCAGGAATTCTGCGTCGGAAGAACAGAAAATTTTCAGCTGTTTAAGGGAAAAAGGCATGGGAAAACTCCCAACCTCAGCTGAACAATGGACGTACACCCGAGTTCAGGTGAGTCCTACTGAAAGGAGCTGTCTGCTTTTTCCTGCTGTGCTTCCCAAGGTTTTGCCCACCACCATTTAAAATGAGAGCATGAGAGAGCACATGGGACCTGAAGGGCAGGAAAAAGCCTGTTCTGAAAATGAGAAAGGAAGCGAGTTCAGGAAACCACATGTGCACCACGCAGCAGGAACAATGCTTCCAAAGCCAGGGCAGTACCTACCTCTCCATGTTAACAGGAGGAGCAAGAACTTTGGCTGCTTCTGTGGAGCGCTTCCCTACAGCAGTCAGGATATTTTCTCCCTCCGATTTCAGCTTGTCTACGAAGTTGTCCACCTCCTTCCCCTTAGCGCCAAGTTTCAAGGCTTTACTGGGACCCGAGGGCCTACAGAAAAGGTATAAGAATCTCCAGGTCAGCTCATGGCAACAGATTCCTCCTTACCCGCAAGTGCTGTAACCCGACTATCCCAACAAAACCACCTTCACCTCTGCAGCCTTTTTTCTGGGAGAGCACGCTCAAAACTGATACGTAGGCTGCAAAGCTGTAATTTGGGTTTGGATTCTGTTCTGTGTATTAACAGTAGCTGGGACCTCTTTTTCTTACACAGGTTATAGAGCCCTTTGCTTATCAAAGGCTCCAGAAACGCTCTGGTATGCTAGTGTGGGACGCACCACAAATGCTCCTCAACAATAAAAGGGCCTTTACTGGGGCACATGCTTCCAGCTCTGCTGACCCCGAGGCCCACTTGCTCCCTGCCGCACACCCACCTGGCAGGCGCTGGAGCCACTTTGGGCTTCTCCGTCTCAATGATGGTCTCCGTGATCATGGTCGCCGTCGTGCCCCCGGACACGGCCACGCTCCCAAAGCCGCCGAACCCAGGCGCCTTCTTGCCCTGCCTCTCTGCGTCCCTCCGGGCTTGCTGCAGCTCCTTGGCTTTACGGCGCATCTCAGCTTTTGCTTCGCGCTCCTGAGTCTGAAGTAAAAGACAAGAGGCTGACAGAGCTTTGCAATCTCAATCTCATTCTGCTCAGGAACCAAGTGCATTTGCATGTAAACCCTCTGTGAAGCAAAAGGGGACAAGAGATTAGCACTTGGTGTACAGAAAAGTGAAATCACTTCTGGGCCACTATCAAAGCTGAGCAGCAGTAGCATCTCCCAGAGCACGTACGTGGGACCCAGCTTGCAGTTACTCCTGCTCACCTCTCGGACTGCTCGGAACACCTTCTCCTCGTGTGACTCCATCTCAGTGAAGGTCCGAATTTGGGCCAGATTGACGTTCTCACGGTAGCCCAGGGCAACAATCTCATCAAAGGCAAAAATCAGGTCAAAGCAGTGCTCAGAGATCTCGTTCTCCTCCAGAGCTCGACAATATTCAGGGATCTGGAGAGCAAAAAAACCATTTTGAAGGGGTATCTGTAGACAACAACATGTAAACACTTTCTTTCTACTACCCCCTGACTTCAAAGCAGTGCTAGCCCCTCCACAAGACCACTGCACTGTTAAGCTGCTCTTATACGCTGCTGATAAACAAGATCAAGTTTTGCCACGATTAGTTTTCCTACACTACAATACCTTGGACAGCCCCTTAGCTTCTCTGGAACACTAAGTCAGAGGAACCTAAACACACGCTGGGGCCAGCGAATTTCCTGAGGAGCCCTGAATAGAGAGAATATTTAATGCTAACTTTAGCAATCACCCCTTTGGTCTCCCCAGCAGAGCTGACAGCAGGAACTCTGCAGTAAGCGAGCGATCCTTAGATCCTTACCACTCTGGAAAAGAGTCGGAGTGTTTCCAGATCTTCCAGGATGTTGCTGTTCTTGGTGGTGATGAGCACCATGTAGAGCTTCTCCATGGGCTGATAGACGTACCGCACGCTCTCCGTCTCCACAAACGTGTGCTGCTTCCCCGTGTTCATGAGCTTGGGGAACGCCGCCAGCAGCCCCTCGATGCGGGTGCGCGTCATCTCCACGAACTGCCGGGACACGATGGCCTTTCCTGCCTTCGTGCACACGGCTGCTGCCAAGAGCACCTGTGGAGGAGGTGAGGGGAGCATCGACTCCATCCCAGCTTCACAAGTGCCGCACCCCAGCTCAACCTCCTTGGCCACCGCTTTCAGCCTTTTGTTGCCACCAGCACTAGCAACTGCGCTATGCTGAAAGCAGACTCACCTCTCCTTTGCTCTGTTACCCTGAGCACAGCAAACTGGCCCCTTCCTACACACACGGAGGTGACACAACCCACCCAGTGCCCTGGGGAGGCTCCAGGCTACTGAGCTTCTCGTCAGTCTGGCCCCAGCTTACAACTAACCACAGACACGTTGTAAAGTGGGACAGTTCTTCGAGGGCCACATCCACGGCAGAGCCACGTAAATGGAGAAGTGGCAGCTGTGTTAACCACAGCCCCCGGATGGCTCTCCTGGGCTCCTCTAGGTACTATCACACCACCAATACAAAGGCAGCAAAGCGACTGCAGCCGACGTCTTCTCGTTCTCTTGCACTACCGAGACTTCTTCCTCACATCTCTCTCTCATAGATCAGCTCTTAACTTTGCCAGGATAAGGCTGTTTCTGTGCTGATGATCTCGTAAATCCCCAACCGCTGTTATTAACGGGCAAGTGCTGGGAACTCTCAGAAACAGACCACGTCCCACCTCAGCCCCAGGCCGACAGCAGCGCGTGAGGCCTCGGGGACTTGCAGCTTGACAGCTCGGGGACAAGCGCATCCTGAAGTGCTTTTATGTCAGGCCGAAACCTCCTCTCTGTACGCACTGCCCCAAAGCACAGGTCACGGCGCAAGGCAAGCTGCACCGGGGGGCTCTCTGCTCCGGGAGCACACGGCTCTGCGCCCTAACGGAGCGGCCTCCCCGCCCCGCCGCCCGAACCCGCGGCGGAACAGCGCTGGGGGGTACAAGGAGCAGGACCGGCTCCGTCCCGCAGCGGAACGGTTCCCGTGCTCAGCCCGCACCGGCACCAGGGCAGCGGCCGCAGCCCCGCCTGCCCGGGCGGCACGACCTGCCGCAGCGCCCGGCTCTGCCCCGCAGGCCACGGGGCTCCGGCGCCAGGCCCGGGCGGGCGGCGGGCGCTGGGGGCCCCCCGACAAGCGTTCCCCCCCCCCCGGCCGCTGTGCCCCGCGATGGGCGGCGGAGCGAGACCTTACCATGGCGGCGGCGGCGGCGGCGCGGGGCTCGGCGCTCCGTCCCTCCGCGTCCCTCCGCGTCCCTCGGGCAGCCGCACAAGATGGCGGCGCCGAGCCACGTCCGCAGCCGGAAGCGTCGTCACGCACGGCGCGGTTGGCGGAGCGCGGCCGCCCCTCCCGGCAGGGAGCGCCAAGGAGGCCCGGCCAGCGGTGGCGGCGGGGGCGGGAGCGGGGACGTCGCCCTGGCAACGGCAACGGCGGCGGGGCGGCATGGCGGAGGTGAGCGGGGCTGGGCGCCGGGGGCACCGCGGCTGGGGGCCGGGCCGCCACCTCAGCGCGCCGTTCTGCCTAGGCCCGCCTGCCCGAGGAGCAGCCGTACTACGAGCGTCTGGACCTGCCGGAGGCCGAGCAGGCGGGCGGCGCTGCGGGGAGGTCGGCAGGGGCCCGATCGCCGCGGGCAGGGGGTAAGGGCCGGCCCCAGGCCTCCCGTTGGCCTGGGCATCCCGCGGCCGATCGGAGCAGCGAGGAGGAGGGCAGTGGCGACAAGGTAGGCAGCGGCGGGAGGGCGGCCCGGCGGCGGGAGGGCGGCCCGGTGAGGCCCGGTGTCTCCCCTAGAAGGAGGAGGTGGCGCGGTCGGCCGCGGCCGCCACCCTCAGCGAGGACTCGGACTCGGAGGGCTCGGACGACTCCTCGGAGACTGACTCGGAGAACGACTCGGATGAGCACGGGGCTGCGCTCACGGGGTGAGCACTTACCTGGCGTTTGACACCCCTACACGAGCCTGTCTTCACAGGCAACTCACCCAAGTGCCCGCCTAAGGCAAAGCAGGGCCCAGTGGTGGTTCTCCTGAGCAAGAGGGGACTCCCTGCCTGGGTCTTTCCGCTTCCTTCGTGCTGGTCTTGCACAGCTGCATGCTGGTTCCCACTTGTAGACAGCCTACTGCATGTTAATCTTCGCCTGCATTTCTCGGCCTTCCTGTAGGGACTTTAGTATAGCAGATTATGACTACCTGCCGGTGTCTTCTGAAATCAAAGAACTCTTTGAGTACGTCAAGAGGTGAGTGGAAGGGGTTTTAGCCCACTCCTTGCTCTCCTGTGTCTCAGTTACTGGGGCAAGTGTTGCAGGACAGTCCGTAGCTGCTCCCACAGTGCTGCTGTTTTTTCCCAGGTACACTCCCAAACCAATAGAGATTGAGTACAAACTGCAGCCTTTCATCCCAGACTTTATTCCTGCAGTTGGAGACATTGACGCATTCCTAAAGGTACAGTTGCTTTGCTCCCCTCTGTATGTGGTGTGCCTGAGCTGAAATGGGATGTGGTATTGGCTGAAGCCTGGCCCTACAGCCCGGTGAGCCCTGCCCCTGAGCTGTCAGTCGCTTCTCAGGCATAATTTGGAGCCAGGGCCACATTTGCCTTGTCCAACTCCTTGTACTTTTCAGGCAGCACTGTACTAACAACTCGTATTCAAGAGAGCAGGCCTGCCAATGCCTTTTAGGGCCTGGTTTTTAAACCATAGGGAGGCTCCCTCCAAAACAGCCCGATGTCCGCTGCCCTAGACTCCCGCAGGAAACGGGGCCTCTGTTTGTCTGCAGGTTCCCCGTCCCGACGGCAGTCCTGATAACCTGGGCCTGCTGGTGCTGGATGAGCCATCGACCAAGCAGTCGGATCCCACCGTGCTCTCCCTTTGGCTGACGGAGAACTCCAAGCAGCACAACATCACAGTGAGACAGGGAGGGGGAGGCTGCACTTGCTGCACGCTGCCCGTGGTGAAAACATTGCATTTTGCTTTACTTCTGTGACTAGAGTGTTGCAGCACAGCTGCTAATTCGCCTTCAAAGGCAGAAAACACTAACGTTTTTCTTTAGGCCGTAGTTTTAAACTGCAATGGATCTATGGCAAGGCTTGGTGCAGGCTTTGGTTCAGTTCCCTTCGGGGGAAGCTTTGTTTCCTTTTGGTTGTCAATATGTGGTTTTCCTCAGTGTTCTGTTTGCCCGTGGCTCTCCTCAGTTGATGCAGTGCCACTAGGAAAGAGAAAATGCAGGGTTAATGTGGAGCCAGCGCAGGGGTTGCAGAGAAGCACCCAAGCGCCCTGAAATGATTCCAGGTTCGTATTTTTATTCTTAGCAGCAGATAAAAGTGAAGAGTGTGGAGAATGCAGAGAAGAACCCCAAAGCCATTGAGAGCTGGATTGAGAGCATCAACGAACTGCACCGCTGCAAACCTCCTGCCACAGTCCACTACACCCGGTGAGCTCCCCTCCACGTGTGCAGCCCCAGCTCAGGCCACGGGGAGGCTGGTGACACAGTCCAGGAGGGCTGAGCACTGCTGTGCTCAAAGGGAGCCAGTCCCCTCTGCAGCAGCCCGGCAGCAGGAAACCATTTCACTTGTGTGTGATCCTGAAGTTTATGTCCTGTTCTTCCCTGGCAGGCCAATGCCTGACATAGAGTCCCTGATGCAGGAATGGTCACCAGAATTCGAGGAGCTCTTGGGAAAGGTATGTTGGGAGTTAGTTTGGTGCTGGTGTTATAACCACCTTCCATGAAAGCCAGGGCCTCCAAAGAGCTCCAGTCCAGGCTCTTTGCCCATGACCCGGCCCACTCGGGTTTGTTCCCGCTTCCCATTTCACCCTCGCCAGATGGGGGAGCAGCCTGATGCCTGAATTCCTCGTGGCCACTGTGCTTGGCCCCAGAGCCGCGCTTGCCATACGGGGGCAGAGCTGGCTGCTCTGTCTCTTCCAGGTGGGGCTCCCAACGGCGGAGATGAGCTGTGACCTGGCCGAGTACGTCGACATGATCTGTGGTAAGGCAGGGGCTGTGCTGAGGGCACAAGTGTGCTGCTGCTCTGGCACTGTCTCGCTTAAAGCAAGGGACTGTTAGAAGCAGGCTCAGCCCTGAGAAGTCAAGATCATTCTCTGCTGTCTGCAGTAGGATGTGGACCCATACCACAGGTGCCTGCGGTCTTTAGTGAGGGAAGTCCCCAGTAATAGTGGGCAGGGGGAAGTTCAGTCTTTACCTGCAGCACTCAGATGCTCTCACATGCTTCTGCTCTTGCTTGTAGCCATTCTGGACATCCCTGTGTACAAGAGCCGAATCCAGCCTCTGCATATCCTCTTCTCTGTCTACTCCGAGTTCAAGAACTCGCAGGTACAGCTTCAGGCAGGCACTGCTCACCCAGCTGAAGCATCACGAGGCTTCTCTCCTCATGTTTGTCTTTGCTGTGGGTGTCTGTGAGGGGGCGGCAGGCCAGACAAGGGGGCCCAAAGAACATTTTCTAAGCTGCTTGATTTGCTGATACCTCAACATTGCACAAGGAGCCCCTGAGATTCTGCGAGGTTTAACAGTTCAGCATGAGCCCACAGTGCTTTTCCCACCAAAAGCAGGAGCGGCCGAGCCCACAGGTCATGCAGAGGGGAAGCGTCTTCACACACACGCCTGTACTCTGGAACGAGCACCAAATCTTTGCACTAACACGTTTTCTCCTCTGCAGCATTTCAAGCCCTTGGCTGATGGGAAGAAGGGCAGGAGCCCACCATCCAACCCTCCTTCACAAGCGGCAGAGGCGGAGGTGTTAAGCTTTACTTGAAGCTTCATGTTGAACCCTCACCTCTGGATCAATCTCTGCTGCTATCAGCAGCCTGTGAAGCAGAGCAGAACACATCAGGAGCCTCCCTGACTTTAGGACACAGCCTGAAGTGTTCTGTATTCATAGAGTAGAGGACTTTACTCATCGCATTGTTGCAGAAGCTGCCTAATGGCTCCAGTTTTGACTTGTTCCCAAGAAGTTCAGCATTAAACCAGCTCTTCCCAGTGACAGGCTCCCTGAGCTGTAGGTGCTGCAGAGCTGAGGCTCCTTGAGCGCACACAACAAGTGCTAGAGCAAGCGGGAGTAAGTTCCACCCTCAGACATGAATCTTGGATCTTCTCAGTGCATTCCATAGCCTGACTGGGGGTGTCAAACTTCTGCTTCCTCTTACTGAGCCCCTTTTCCTATTCTCAGCCCCTTAGCTGCTGCCAAGGAGAAATAACCGGCGTGGCACCATAGAGACACTTAAGTTTAGTTTATTGCTGTGGGGAGGACTCACTCCAGCCCCTGCCATGCTGCCTGTGCTGACCCATCTGCCACAGCTCTGGCAGGGATGGCAAGAATCATGCAGCAAGCGGGCCATGAACCTGCTAAAGCAAGGCTGGTGCTTGGCCTTACCCCAGCAGGAATCTTGGTGCTGGCAGCAAGGCTGAGCCTGGCTATAAACAGCTTTGATGCATCTGTTCCTAAAGCGCAGAGGCTACATAAAACCATGCCTTGGCTCACAGTGCAGCTACCGGGACCTGCGGCGCGTAGCTGAAGGTACAGCCAGGGCTAGTCAGTGCCCTGCACAGCCCCTGGCACCCACAGTTCTCCAGGGGCTGGCACATACCTGGGGCTGGGCAGCCCTGCCTCAAGGCACCACACCACGTCTCACAGCCAGATCTCCTCACTGCTTACACTGGGCACTTTGTAGATGCGCCCAGACTTTGGGAGCTGGATAAAACCTGCGGGACAAAGACAGCTTGTTGCCATTGCCCTTCGGAGCAGCTGCAGAGGCCAGTATTTCACCAGCACAGCTTTGGGGGCCTCTCGCCCACCTGCACCCCCTCACCGAGCTTGCTGAGGACCAGGGAGTTCTCCAGCCCCGGCCATGTGCTCTCCTCTCCCCCAGAACCAGCTCCTGCATCCCTGGGGGAAGCTGCGGGAAAAGAAAGGGGCAAGAGCCATACATGGAGCCCTCACCCAGGTAGGACCCATGGCCCTGTGTGTCCCTCCACACTGGCACCCGGGCTCTCACCTCTGGCCTCCTGCGTGAGGTCGCTGAGGTGCAGGTCAGGTGGCAGTGACCGGGTCTGGCGGGGCAGACGTGCACCCTCGGGCTGTGGGAGCTCAGGGCCGCTGCAACGGGAGCACCGGCTGAGTGGGCTGCGCCCTCCCACTTGCCCCTCGCCAGGCACCGGCTTGGGCCGTTGGCACGCCAGGCTGGCGGCACAGGAGCCCAGGCTGAGCAGGGCAGACAGGGCCAGGGCTGCTCCGACGGCGACACCCAGGAGGGGCAGCTCCACATGGGCATCCAGCAGACCTGCACGGGCAGCATGGCCCCTCAGCACCCTTTGGCACAGCCATGGTGCTGTACCTACCCCCCAACACCTACCTGGCGGCAGGAGGGAGGTGGTGGTGATACCCAGGCTGTTGGCAGCGCTGACAGAGAAGTTGCCAGCTGCACTGTCGAGGTGGATGCGGAGCGAGTGGTTGGCCACCCCCGGGTAGTGTGTGGTGTCCAGGAGGTGGAACTCTGAGGTGTTGGCCATCACCTGCCCATCCTGGTCCACCCAAGTGATGCTGGCGGGTGGGTTGGCTTCCACCAGCACAAAGAGCACCAGGAGGAGGCCCTTGCCCTCAGCCTCTTGGTAGTGGGCATCTGCCTGCAGGATCTCTGGCTTATCTGGGCAACAAACAGGCAGTGAGACAGGCAGCAGAGACAGGGCCGCACAGGCAGGAGCAGGATTTGTCTCACCAGAGGCTGGAAGTGCTCATCAGCTGTGTCTGCACAGGACCGATGAGATCCTGCCCTGCTCTGGCCAGGCAGCAGCCCCATGCACCCTCCCCGTGCCTCCATCTGGAGCAGGGCCAGCACCGCAGACCTTACACTGCACGTCGAGGAGGACGGAGGAGTTGTAGGTCTGCCCAGAGGCTGGGTCCGTCAGGGAGCAGTTGAGCTGGCGGTCGCTGCGCCGGGCGGTGAGAGTGAGGGTGCTGGCGGCGCCCACGGCCGAGCAGTTTGCCTCCTGCTTTTGGCCATCGAGGTACCAGGCCAGCATGGCGCCCGGGGCCGGCCGGGGAGCCCGGCAGGAGAAGACACGGCTCTCCCCCTCCCGCAGCGTGCACACTGCCAGCCGCTGCCCATCGATGGTGGGACCCGGCTCCCCCAGCCCTGCCGGAGAGCCCGTGGCGCGTCAGAGCTGCAGCAGCATCCCGCTGTAGTGCTGCCGGAGCACTGGACCCGCCCCCTGCAGCCTCACCTGCCGAGCAGCACGCCAGGAGGCCCAGCAGCAGCAGCAGTCGGGCAAGAGCAGCCTCCGGCCGGCCCTGGGAATGCCACATGGTGCGGCGGCTGTGCCGAGCGCCAGGAGACATGCAGCTGGAGCAGGGGTGCAGCGCTGTCCCCACGCTGGGCCCCAGGCATCCCAGCGCGCAGCAGGGCTGGACAGCAGAGCCGCACTGCACCTTACCTGGAGCATGGCCGCAGTGCGGCTCCGGGCCCCGGCACACGGGGCTGCGCGTGAGGCGCAGGGGCGGTCCCCGGCACGGCTGGGAGCATCCTCCGCCCGCCCCGCAGCCGCCATCCCCGAGCAGAGCCCTGGTGCACACGAGCGTGGGCAGAGACCACCCAGCCAGGGCTGGGGATGAACAGAAGGGGGCCAGCACCCTGCTCAGCCCGGCCGCATGCCCACAGCGCTGCCTGTTCTCTGTATGTGCCGCCCTGCACTCACCAGAACCGCACCGCAATCACCGGCAACGCCACAAGCGGAGCCCGAGCGCCAGGGATGCAGGCAGGTTTATTGGGGGTAGAGCGGAGCTGAGACAAAGCAAGGCATTTCGGTACCTCCCATCCCAGCTGTCAGCCAGGGATGGAGGAGGAGCAACAACAAGAGGATCTCTGGCACCAGAGAGGGACCTTCTCTGGTGGCCAGGACGTGTCCAGCGCACACGCTGCTGTTCCCGTCTCCTGCCCGTCTCACTCACTCGCGGTGCTGCTGGGGTTGCGGAGCCGCCCCAGCATCTCACAGAGCATCTGGTTGCAAAGCGCTGAGTAGGGGTTGAGCAGCACCAGCTGCCGCCGGGCAAAGGCACTGCCCAACCGTGCCGCGCGCTCAAAGTCCTGCCGCGCGTCCTCGTCGCGGGCGTGCAGCCGGTGGATCAGCCCGCGCTGCACGAAGCTCTGGCAGGCGGCGCGGCCGCAGCCCCGGCTCAGCCGGATGGCAGCATCCAGATCCCGCAGGGCGCCTGGGCGGGAGGGGAGAGGTGTTGGGGCGCGTGTGGGATACCTGGGGGGCACCCGTGACCCCTCCGCCCTGCTCACCTGCCACGTCGCCCCGCAGCCGCAGGGCCTGGGCCCGGTTGTTGTAGCCCGAGGCGTGCTCGGGCAGCAGGCGGATGGCCTCGCTGAACCGCTCCAGCGCCGTGCTCACATCCCCCGACTCCGCAGCAGACACCCCCTGCAGCTCCAGGTCCTGCACCTGCTCCAGCAGCTCGGGGGGGAAAGCTGCCTCTGTGGCAGCACAAAGGGGAGCTCATGGTCAGGGAAGCGTCCGGCACCAACTCCCCCCTGTCCAGGGAGCAACGGGCATCGGGATGGGGCTGCTCCCAGCCCCCAGAGCCTACTTCCCCTGCCCACACACCCTGCGGCATCACAGGGACCCTGTTGCCCTTTCTAGCCAGAACCCATGCAGTGTCTACTCACCTTCCTCCTGGGTGCCATCCTCCTCTTCCTCGTCCAGCCCAGGGATGTCCCCGAAGGGGGTGCTGGGGTTAAAGATGGTCTGCAGGACGGCCCTGTCGTTCGCCGTGGCCATGGTGCCCTCCCTCTGCGCGAGCTCCTGTCAGGATGCGGGCGGGTGGCCCATGGCAGGTTAATGTTCACCCCGTGGCACCGCTTCCCCCTTCCCCATCCAACCCCAGGCCATGACCTGGCCGCACCACCCCCCTGTGTCCCAAAGGCTCTTCCAGGAGGAGCAGCCGTGGCACAAGGAGAGCACCTTCTCCCCCCCCCCCTCCCCAGGAAGAAATGGAGAGCAGCCCTCTGCAGCAATAAACTTGACATGTTTATTAATTAAACTATCACTTAAATAAAAAAAAGTGCATAGAAAATAAACATGTTTAAAAACTCCTTTGTTTTTTTTTTGTTTTTTTTTTTACAAGTATGTACACTTTTTTTTGTTTTTACATTCAGTCTTTTGCAGAGCTTTCAGCATTTTTTAACTGTTAAAGTATTTCCTTCTTCCCTGTGGCAGGGAGTTAACACTGATGGACTTTAGACACGGTTCCTCTTTTTTTGTGTTTTTTTTTTTAAAAAACCAACCCAACCAGAAGCTTGGAAGAACACAAGGGAGAAGAAGAGCTCGTTATACATGATAAGGTGTCAAGAAATGTAGTTCTAGAACATAACCTTGCCTTGGCAGAGCTTTTTTTTGTCTTTTTTTTTTTTTGAAACAATTATTCACCTACCTGTAGTTACTAAAGAGACTGTTAAGTTCAATAAAAGAAACACCACAATATAGTTCTCGGTTGATAAGACAAAGCTACTGCACCTCGTTAAAGAGACCAGGAAAGCACAGAGCACAGTTCCCCATATGCAGGTGGTACCCCAACATTCATAACCAAAACGAGAGGAAGAAGAGGAAGAAACCAAGTTGTACACGAACTGACTGGGCACAAGAAGGGCGAGAGGGCCGCGCGGCCCGGCTCCCGCCGGCGGTAGCCACTGGAACACGATCCTTACCTATAGTGTTAAGAATTAAAAGCCATGGACCGATACTGCACGAGGCGGCGTTACACGGTGCATTTCTATAGTAGTTCCTATATATATTGTATTTATAGCTATAAAAACCTGGCGAGTGCTGAGTGAGCAGTAGTATGGGTGTGAATGGTGCGATGCCGCACAGAGACCGTCCCGCTGGAGAACCTGGTATTGCTTCGAAATGAAAGAAACCAGAAAGGAAAGATACCCAGCCCTTTGCAGTGACCCGCTTCTCCTTAGGAAACGAACACAGACAACAAAAATTAACGCCCCAAGGGTCCTTTTTTTGTGGGTTTTTTTTTCAGTATTTTCAGATACCGTGATCTGCGTCAGTCCTCACAAAATGTACATTCAGACACGGGGAAGAGGCGTCGAGCCCACGCGCTCGCCGCCACGGCTCCTCCCGGCCCTGCGGCGCAGCGCGGCTCCCGCGGCACACACAGTTCCACTGGCCTGCAACAGCAATAGCAGCAAAGCAGCAGCGGCCGGGCCCACTGGAGGTGCCGGCGCTTGGCTCTCAGGGGTCCCACGGCCGCCGCTCCCCCCACACCAGTGGCTGTGGGCAGCGCTGCCCAGCCGGAGCCTCTGCCCACCACCAGGCCGATGGATCGGGAGGATCCATGTGCCAGGGAGGATGCTCCTCCTCTCCCAGCCATGCTCGGAGGAGAGAAATGGCAGCAGAGCCCAGCTACTGGGGCAGTTTTGGGCTTTGCTGGGCTGACCCAGCGCTGCCGTCAGAACTGGGACAGGAAGACCAGAGCAGCGGTGCCCGGGGACATGGGATGAGGCCCTGGCCCATGCTTGCCGGCCTCCTCAAGGTATGTGCGTTCCCAAACTGTCAGTGCATCATCAAATCATCTCAGTGACAAATGCAGCGTCAACGCGACTCCTGTCAACAGCCGTCACCGAGTCCTCGCCCCACAGTGCAATAACAAACAGAAACTGGCAGCTCCTGACCCACCGAGTGGCGTTCCCAGGTCACGGGAAGAGGCCTCGGGTGCCCCGCTGCAAGCACAGGGGTCTCTGGAGGTGCTCTCAGCCCTTCCCCACATCTTGGGGCTGCACTCCCACCCACCAGCACCTGGACGGCTGCTGACCGACCCGCAGGGAAGGGTGAGGGCGAATCCCGCTTCCTCTTTTCCATGGAAAGACTCATTTGCCTTCAAGAGCGCCTACGGATGGGGCGCATGCCCCAGCCAAAGAGGGGTCGGGGCTCAGGGCTCCCTCGTTTTATCTCAGTTTTCCCTCTAAATCCAGGCAGGATGCAGAGGCAAAGGGATGCTCAGCCAGAGCCTACCTCCTCCTCAGCCAGGCCACGCTCCCTCCTGCCCCCATCTCACTCATAAGTTACGTCTCAGGTCCAGCCAAACCTCCTGGAAACGGTTACTGAAGTCAAAAAAGCAGAACAAGAGTAAAAAAACCCAAAAATAAAGTGTACCCCCCTCTCTGGCGAAAGGGCCGGACTGGGTCCGGCGTTTCCTACAACCGTCCTAGGAAAATTAAAAAAACCCTTAAAAAGAGATTCTCTTAAATTAGGATAATACCACTGTTTAAAAAGCCTCGTCATAAGTGCTTTCCCCTATGAAGTGCTTCTCATAGAAAAATATACAAAATATATTTACATTTATAAAACCTTAAATACTAAACTGTAAACAGAACAGAGAAAACCCAACATCGTCGCGTGGTGGGCTCGGGGCTTTCCGCTCACCTCGGGGCTGGCCCAGGCGGGAGGAGGACTTGCGCTACCGAACAGGGTGACAGCGGCTCTTCACGCGCTGCTTAACGGAAGCTCTCACCCCAGCTCTCCCCAGCCACGTCTCCCCTCGCACTAGCTCCCCAGTGGCAGAGAGATGGAAACCTGGAACGTCTTGAGCTGCTGGAGACAGGACCTGGGAGAGGGCCACTTCCCTTCTGCACAGCCAGAGAAAGCACCGCTGAAAGGAAGCCTTTACTCGCAAACATCTGCAGCGCCCCAACTGTTGGCACAAGCCCTGTCTCTGCCAGAAAACAGCAGGAATTCCCCTGTGCTCAGGCTGGGATTTGGCAGCAAAGCGTGAGCCCAACCCTTTGGTCTAGCTGGGGGCTGCTCTGCCCTGCTGCCCCAGCTGAGCCCTCCCAGATGAAGGCAGACCCATGCAATGCAGCAGCCCCCTGAGCGCCGGCTCTCAAGTAGTGTTTTGCAGCACAAGGGACGATGGACACGTGCGGTCCTTGGGGCAGGGGGCTGGGGCTGCAGCCCTTGGAGGGAAGCTCACTCCAACATGGTGCTACTGAACTTCCGACACAGCCCTCGCACAAGGAGAGCTCCCTCTGAGCCATGAGCCAGCAAGGACGGACCAATCGCTCCCCCACGCTCGGGCCTGCGCCTGGGCTGACCTCTTGCTCCCCTCCCTTAGCATCTCCTGCTCACTAGCCCCACGCTAGAAACAAACACTGGGGTCAGGGGAAATGAGAACAGCAAAAACACAATCACGCTGAGGCTCTTCTCCAGTCGCCCATGTCTTTCACAAGGGTAAGTGTGCACATGCGAGACATGAAGATGTGGACTCTGACAGAGAAACAGCTGCCGGCCAGGTCCCGGAGCCCGGCCCACCTCGACTCCTGCCTCTGGCCTCCCTGGCCTGGCTGAGTGGCCATGGAGGGCGTCACACGAAGCTTTGGTTCGCCCCGGCCGCTCGGGGCTCCCTCGCAGCCGACTGAAGTTCTAGTTTAAAAACTTCCTGCACTTTTTGGCGCCGCAGTTACAGGGCAGCTTGTTGCTGGCGTCCTCGATGGGGAACTTGTAGTCGTAGGTGAGCTCCTCCCCACGGTAGATCTTGCGCATGGCGAAGATGACGATGTGCTTCTGGCCGTCGATGTTGATGACCCGGGAGTAGCAGTTGGGCTCGCAGGAGTGGTTGATGAAGCGGGCCGCGTTCCCGTGCATGGTCGCATCCACCACTTCCGAGTCGTCAATGCGGAACATGTAGCAACCGATGCCCTAGGCACGAGGACAGGGAGAGGGTTACCTCCGGGAAGTGAGATCAGAGCCACCCTAGCAGACAGCCTAGCTCATCACAGCCACCCAGCATCAAGCATAAGGGTAACTGCACCCTCTCTCCGCTCATCCGTGCTTCAATCGTTTCACCTCTGTGGTCTTTGGATCTGCAAGACTTGACTGAGACCCTTCCCAGCCCACATGAGGAAACAGGGAGTGCTTGTAGAGCTCTGGCAGGAATGGAAGTATCCCGAGGAGCCTGTAAGCCCGATTCCTGGCGCTCCAAATGTGGTTTTCACAATAAGCCTGTCCTACCGTCACAGCCACTTTCTAGCTCTCCTAAAGTCTTTAAGAACTTCTGCAAAAGCCCACAACTCACCTTACTGTCGTAGTATTTCTCTCGTTTGTCAGTGAGGATGGAGCGAATGACATTGCCTGAATATTCGATCACCATCTCACCTGCATCGATGTTCCTTTTGCAGAACAGACCCCGGCCATGGATGGGAGACCTGAAAAAGTGACAGGAACAGTGACTGTTTCAAAGGGAACAGCGAAGCTCTGCAAACACTGCAGAAGAAGGGTTAGTCACCACAGGGATCACCGTGGTACCAGCCCTCATCCATAACATAACACTAATGCCAGGTCCCTCCTGCCCACCTCTAAGCATATGCCTCAGCCACTCTAAGGTGAGCCAGCAAGGAGTAAGGTTTGTGATGAAGATGGCCTTTCAAATACATAATTTGTGCAGGGAGAAGGAGGCACAACCCCAGACCTGCTTTTCCCCCCTCAATCTTGCAGTCTGTATTCCTAGAAGGTTTCCAGATTTCACCTTCCTCTGTGCCAGAGGCAGTGGCACCAGAGCAGAACCGTACCTGTAGACACCAACTGCCTCCTTGGAGGTCTTCTTCAAGTGTCGGAAGCGCATGGGCATTGGCAGATCCATACTAGTCGCCCTCCTAGAACAAAGAAACCCTGCTGAGTGACAAACTTCTCTTGAGAGCCTGTGCCACGTGTTATCTAAGAGGTTTTCCAACACATAATCATCTAGATGCTGCGACACTGCAGCCCACCGAGGACACAAAGTTATTACGGTGCTTTCATATATATGTGAAAGATAATTTACTCCCTTTCCTCCCCAAATTCTCTTGCAGATGGTTTCACATTAGCAAGGAAAAGAAACATTAAGTTGAAGACTGGTCTGGTGCTCACCTCCAGCTGACAGCTCCCTAGGAGTCTCCTCTAGATTTGCTCTAACCACCACCTCAAAGAACACTGCGCATAACTAAGGCCCATCAGCTCCTTCTGACATTGCAGCCCTATTTTCCCCTTTGAAACTTTAAACCCTGCTTCATACCGGGCTGATTTCAGCTGTACTTCTTCCTCTTCCTCGTCATTTGGGTTGTATTCTGGTGGCTGTCGGTGTTTAGAAGCCAAGAAATTAAACATATCAAATGCAGATTTCCTGCAATTTAAAGAGACCAAAGGAAGTTTGCTTTACTGTCAGAAGATAAATGTGGCCGCCACAATAGTTTGACCCTTTTACACCTTGTCCAGTCCGTTCCCTCTTAAAACCTTCTAAGCACCAGGGCAACACACAAGCTTCTGAGAACCCTGAATGAAAGCACCAGGAGAGCTTTGTTAAACAAAACAAGGCCAACAAAGTGGCAGAGAGAAACATGCTAGAGGCAATATAACTGATTTACATGTGAAACTCACAAACAGGAGAGCTTAAGTGCTGTAGAGATCTGCTGATTATGTCCCTCCATGGAGTCAGTTAGTGGAGCAAATGGGCCATTAACCTGAGGGATGACAAAGCTCACACTTGCCTCAAGTGGACTTCAGCCCTGGCTGAGCCGTGGGGGTTCAGGGGAGGTTCATTGGCCTCCTCTGGCTTATGAAATCTGAACTTGTAGTTGTGGCAGTGCTTTGCTCCGTACAGTTGCTCAATCAGGAACACCACAGTATCATGGATAATGCCCAGCATCCTCAAACCGTTCACACCTGGAGCAGAAACAGAGCACAATCAACACAAACTCACTGACAGCACCAACCTGGAGCAGGAGAAGGCAGCAGCCTCTCACATACAACAGGAGCATTCCATGGAACAGCTTTCAATCCTTTCACTGGGAAGAAATTATCCTCCATAGAGCAGTCAGAGGCTGCACTAAGCCTCTACAGCTCTGAGACCTTCCAAACAGGAAGATATGCTCACTCTCACACGTGCAGAAGTGGGCTGGGCACTGGCTATTACCTGCAAAGGAGAGCTGCTTCAGCCGGGCATTGGATCGGGCTTCTTGTACTTTGTCCGTCAGTGACTTCCAGGCATCTGCAGACGCACAAACAGAGCACGACACTGAGATCGTGTCCGAGTAGGGGGGGCTCCAGGAGTGCCAAACCCCATGCCTTGCTGTGCCTCTCATTTTGCCACGGCTTACCAGCTTCCCAGTGAAACAACATACCACTGGTGGACTTCTATGTACACACATGGTATGCTGCTTTCCAACAAATTCTCATATTTGTTTAAACTAATTAGGACTATGAAGTTTGCATCCTTTCATGGTAAGTTAAAGTCCTCATGTCCAGTTGCCTCCCTCCTCTCCAAAATTCCCTTTGGCATAAAGTAAGCACCTTCAGCAACTGCTCTGGAGTAAATTTAGATACCCCTCTGTCTGATCCACATGGACTATGTAGTGACAAAACATGGCTCAAAACCATTGGTCAGCTGACTAAACAATGAGATATATTCACTGAATATATTCTACTGAAAGAAAAAATCATCAACAGAATCCAGCCATTGTTAGGAATTTGGGTTGTTCTGGGGCTGTAATTCAAGACTTTGATCCTCAGAAGTCCTAACTTTACTTCTAGCAAGGAAAGCTAAAACCAGTGCAACCAAAAGCCCACAGTTCTCACCTTCAATGCTTTCTGCGCAGATCTGAAAACCATCATCACTAGAGATCTCAAAAACCAAACCTTTCTTGTGTTTCTTCTCACCCAGACACTCTTTTCTCTTTTGCTCTTGCTGAAGCCAAAACATAAGTGGGGAGCTGAAAGTGCTCTCTTCTTCCTCGAGAGCTTTTGAGCCTGGAAAAGACAGGAGCCAGCATGAAGACAGAAACTGGGTCGAATGACATTTTTCCACTGGTTGTTCCATGACTGAACATTCCTGACTAACCTGCCTTTTGACCCGTAAACCTGTCCAAGAAAAAAATCTAGACAGTGCTGTAGTAAGTGTGAAATCTCAAGTGCTGAAATTCCCACAAACTTAAAATAGACATACAACTATTTGTCTCATATCTATTAATAGCCAACAAACCTTTCCTCCCCTCACAGCAAGAATACCATGGTTATCAGCTCTGAGGTTTTTCCCAAGAGAGCGAGACACACAGGCCCTGAACTTCCAGGTACTCATCTCCCAGACCTGGACAGCCCCAAGACTTGGTGCTTTTGAAGAAGTGACATACCTGCATTCTCTTGTTCACTTGTTGCATTTTGTGTTGACTGAGATTCTGACAAGACTGACGTTTGCCTTGGGGGGGGGAAGAGAGGAACACAGAGAGAAATATTTAACAACCTGCCTCATTTCCTCACCAGGCTGAAAAGCTGCCTATAAAATCTTGAGAACTAGACAGATACAATAACCTTTGTGCTCTGACATCAGTTCTATTGGAAACAAACCAGCAGGTTCTACTCAGTGGCATTCCTTTCTGAGGCCTCTATTTCTCTGTGGGTAGCAGTCTAACCCAGTACAGTCTGTGACCTGTTCTCTGTGTTAGGGCTACTCAGTGACCGAGGCTCAGCCAACACAGGGTGAGGGGTCATCTCCTCAGCCAGCTGTAGCTTCCCAGAGACACACACACCTTCACTGATGGAAATGTCTGTTGAATGCTTACCCTGCAGACTGGCCACATGGCTTCTGCAATGGCTGATCTACGCTTGCTGGATCCTGTGTATCTGCCTTCAGAGGAAGGGTCCTGGAACAAAAAAAATGAGGAACACTGAAAATACCTGCCAAGCCACATGTGCTGGGAGTGAGACTGGAAAACGCAACAGATCCATGGGGAGCTGCTGCGAGTGAGTCAGCAGTTCACAGAACTGCAGGAGTAGAAACAAACGTTCCTGGGATACGAGGAACCAGATCACACTTCCAGCACCACAGCAGAATCCAGACTTGCACTTCAACAGGGAGGAGGAGCAAGAGAAAGAGCTCTGGCTGTTTCAAAAGGGTAAGCTGTTGAAAGAGGTCTGGATCGATGTTTTACAAACCAGACTCATTGCAAGACAGGAAGACAACCAAAGAATTGCACAAGCGATGTGCAATGTTTCTCAGTTGCCAGCAGAGGGACGTTACTCTCAGTAAGAGAATCATTTCGGAGAACCTGCCACTCTTTGGAGTGCCATTTTCTCCTCTAATATCTCTAAACCACTCTTTAATTTGCCAGAACTGTCAACGATGAATAACGTCCTCACAACCCTGATCCTCAAAGCCTTAAGTTTTGCATCCTTCCCCCTCCAGAAGGGATACTCTTTTACATATCTACTTTCTGCTGGCAGCTGTGGCTTTTATCTTAAAAATTGCCCAAGAGAAAATTTGCTGCAGAAATGAGTGCGAGATTCTTCCTCATGTTGTTACAAAATCTCAGGGATAAGCAGAACCAAATGCTCCTCTTACCCTGCAGCAGAGACCTGGGGTACAGCGACAGCCCCTCTCTCAGGAGCATGTGCTTCAGAGGAACCGGTCCATAAGTGAGATGTTTTGTGCTTCTTCCCATTCCCTTTGTCTAACGATGGCTGAATGCGTTTGATTTTTGGCTTCGTTTTTGTGGGAGCCAGTGCGGAGCTGCTGGCTGACTGCTGGCCAGAGGAGGGGGAGCCTCCGGGAGACGCGGAGCTGGCGTGCATCACGGATGAGGAAGTCTTGCTTTGCTCCAGTCCAGTGTTACTGGGAACGTCGACCAGCTGTGGAAAGCTGGACAACTGCGTTGTGGCTGAAGCTGTGCCGAGGTCCAGCTGGGAGGAAGCCACCCCGGATTTGTTGGCCAAGAGCTGCGTCATGTGCTGAAGCTGGTAAGAGCCTTCCGGGTCGGTAGAGGAGGGAGCAACTGTCATGCCCATCGTCTGTGCTGAAGGCAGAACGCATATGCTTGATGCAGCTGTCATTGCTGCTGTAGATGGAGTCTGGGATGCTCCCAGTTGTGAGAACATCCCAGAACTTGGTGGTAAAGTCATGTGCTGCTGCTCCTGACCAAGACCAAGGCTTTGCTGACTAGCTTTGATCAGGAGGTTGCTTATCGACCCAATGTCCCCTAATAATCCAGGGCTAGTTAATGTTACCGAACTTTGTCCTAGAACGTGACCAGGAACCGACCCACCGGTGCTCGGTGCTGCCGTGGCCTGCATGGACACGACATTCAGCACTGAGGAACTCGAGGCCAGGCCCGACACAGGCCCTGCAGGGAGGTGGCTGGCCTCTGGCCCTATAACGCTGGAAGACGTGCCCACGGCAGTGGCGGTCCCACCTTGTGGGAGCAGCGACGCTTGCTCAAAATACATGACCCCAGACTTGGACCGTTTGATAATATTGGGGACGGTTCTGTGGGACGTGGAGTTTGCAATAGCTCCCAAATCCAGCGGGTGGTTGGAAATTTGGGAAGGAGCAAAATTAATTAAGGTCATGTTGGAGACCATATCAGGAGGAGCTATAGCAGAAGGGGTTCCTGAGGGAGCCAGCTTCTTGTTCTTCCGTGACTGCAGGCGAGATATGGGCCGCTTCTTGCCCAGGGCAGCGGCTGGAGTAGTGGCGGCAGTACCTAGGTCTGTCCTCGGACTAGCTTCAGACACCAGGAGCTGAGGATCGGGGGGTGGCTGCACCCCTATGAGAAGCCCTGGAGAAGGACTGCTGATGTTTGGTGGGAAGCCAGTCTGAGCAGCGGTGGAGAAGGGATGGATATGCTGGTGATGGGACATGGGCAGCAGCCCCTTGCTCGTGGGAGGGAACAATGACTGAGACGAGGGCAAGCTCGGATTTAATCCCGTGGTTAGCGTGAGGCCGCTGCCCATGGGCCCCAGCACTGAAGTGTTGGTCTCCATCACGCTCTGCGCGGAGCTAACGGAAGGTGTTAGCTGGATCTTCTGAGTAACCCCATTGGGAAGAGTTTGGAGGACGTACAGCGGCTGCATGTTTTGGTTGACTACCAGCAGCTTCTCTGCGGCCGGCTTGAGGTGGGGTGGCGTTGTCTGCACCGCAGCATTAGAGATCTGCGAGGGGCCAGGGCTATCTGTGGAGTTTGGCACGTACTTCTGGCTCTGGAGGGGAACGGTGGGTGATACTGGCACCTGGATACCTGGAGTCCCGCTGTTCCTTGTTAAATCCTGGTTGCTGCCGTGCCCTTGCTCGACAGGGCCACAGGGCGGGCTGGCTATGTGCTCTGTGTCTATGTGACCCTGAATGAAGTGGTCGGGAGTTATGTGTCCTTCAGGGCTGGGGTCTACTCCTGGGCTCAGGAGAGCTGCATCGCCCTCCCCCGAGGCAGATTTTTCTGTGACCGTCACTCTCTTCTCCCCAGACTCCGCGGAGGGCAAGGTGAGCATCGCCCTCTCCCCCGAGGAGGAGAGCGAAGACTCCGAGATGACGGCGAGTCTGTTGTGATTCTGGCTGGGCACCGTAGGGCTGCGAGTGGTCAGAACAGAGAGGTCAGAAGGAAGCTCCAGCGGCAACTCAAACTGCTCCTCTGCCGATATGGAGGACGAGACGCTGCTGTCCACTGGCTCGGCGGTTGGCAGCTGCTGAGAGAACACCTCAAACAGACCCATATCCTTCCCACGGTTGCTGTCGAGACCCAAACCTTCTCCCAGGGTTAGAAGTTCAGAGGATGAGGACTCCGGACTTTCTCCCAGCGCCTGCATAGATGGCGTGTTCTTTAGTACAAAGTCCATGATGTCGGAAGGGAGGATGTTCCCACAGTCATCGCTGTTGTTATTGTCAGAGTCAGATTTCAGGAGTTCTGTGTTGAAAGTGTCCAACAAGTTCTTGTCAGAAGGTGTGCTGGCGTGAGCCCTGCGGCTCGTTTCCAGAGAGCTCAGCTGAGCTTCCAGAGAGTCCTGACCTTGCGCTTTAACCCTGCTCACCGGATGGCAGTTATCCATCTTTGAGTCGCTTTTGTGGACAGAGGAGCTCTTGGTGACTTGCACTTTCTCACCGGCATCTTCACCTCTATCTAGCTTTAAGTTCTCCGTTCCATTTTCCTTACTGCTCCTTTTACTTACTTGACTGACTTTTCTTGTGGTCGCCGTGACGCTTGTATCACTTTCAGTTCCATCATCCACACCGTCCAGCTGGGAGATTTTGGGGAGATCACACTGCTCCTCCTCCCTGAACAAGCTGTGGGACGCAAGCCTCTCCTCCGCGCTCGAGGAAACCACCGTTCTAGTGAAATTGTAGTAGTACAAGTCATCTTCATCTGATGTGCTCAAGTCATCCGCACCGTCCACTTGTCCTTCTGCAGACCGTTTCCCCCGCTTCTTCCCAGTCGAGTTACTGTAGAAGGGAATGTCTTCCTCTCCGTAAGACCTCACGCCATACAGAGGAGTCAGTCCAAAGAACATATTGGATCTGGCCCTAGCACTTCTCCGTGGATACCTCCGCTTGTACGAGCCCTCTTCTTGAGCTTTAGCTCCATCCTGGAGCATCAAGTTGTTATCTTGAACAGGCAGGTTTTCATACGTGTTATTCTGTGATTCCTGTGCTGGTGCTTCATTTGGACTTCCCTGAACTACAGGGTTATCTTCCTGGCTTTCCGAGGTTGAGGAGGACTCTGCCACCACAGCCAGTTCTGCCCCTGCAGGCTGAGCCTCAGCATCGCTTTCTGGCTGTGCATTTTTAGACTGGTTTTCACCTTCCATCTTGAGTGGTGTCAGAGTGACTTTAACAGTGCGCTTTCTAGGTGTTGGTGATTCCTTGGGGGCCACTTCGATCTGCGCTGCAGAACCTTTGGATGGCCCTTGGGAAGGTGGGGACTTATCGCCAACTTTTTCAGCAGGAATACTGTTACACAACCTCTGGTTAAGCTGTTCCGTTGCCAAACCCTGATTAGTGAATTCTGGTTTCAGGTTTCCTTCATCGCTGCCTACTGCTTGACTCGAATCTGTAAGAGGTTTCAGGGAATGCTTCTCTTTAAAACTGTCTTTCACTAACTTCTTCCCTTTCTGACGCCTGTCTTTAGGGGCAGAAACCACCTGCTCACTCGCTGCAGGAGACCTGCTATTTACTCCAGCAGACTTCAAGGTCTTGGCATCCATCTCATCAACCCCGGTCGTTTTCTCCAGCTGCACAGGTTCCATGTGCTGATCCCTGTCTTTCCTTGGGCCTCTCTGATGCAAAAGTGGAAAGGATATTGCCTCTTTGGAAGAAAATGGTCCTGAACATTCTTGAAAGGTTCCTACTTTAACATTCATTTCTGCACCCGATGAACTGGTTAGTTGAATGGACATTTTTGAGTTTCCTCCAGAAGCAAAACTATGAGCTGAATAATCTGGGTCTTTCAAGGTCGATGTTTTCATCTTCTCTCCTTTAGAAGTCACACCTTTAGCTAGCAAATCCAAATTGGATGAATGTCCTTCTGTAGACTGAGAGGCATCCAGCTGGTAAGTTTTACTTCCGCTTATAGCCGCTGTCTTCTGGGAGCCTGAACTGGTGGAGCAACTTTGAACTGGAGCACTTGGAGTACCCACATTCACCGATCCCACAAAGCGGTCAGTACTCTTGACGCTCGGCTCGTGTTCTGAGGAGGACCCCATGCTGGAAGCTGCAGATCCGCTGTGCCTGGTGTGAGTGTTCCCAGCTCGTGTAGGGGAAATCATCCGGAGTTTTGATTGCTGCTGTGACAAAGAGGAGGTGCTGTGTCTCCGAGAACCGATGCTCTTCAGTCCAGAGGACAGCAAAGGATCTCCTACAGTCACTATTTCATGGGTCACTGGTGTAGGACTTCCTGAGAAAATAAGGCGAGAAAGACTGTCAAGTGATCTGAAGGCTACATGATCAATGCACGCCCAATCCCTTCAGTCAAGACACCAGAAATGAAAACCTTTCAGTGCAATAGCATTCACATAATGATGATAGCTGAGCTGGCTATTAAAGATCTGATACTGTCAATTAGTGTTCAGAAAGCAGAGTTGATAGGTTTGCATCTCAGCATTCTGTACCTCAACTTCTGATCTGAATGCTCAACATTGCTTTGAAACAAAGCGTGACCCATTGATACAGAAACAGCAGCTGAGTTACAACAGCAGATTTCCAACTCTGTCTAGAAAAATACCAACTGAGATGAGAAAGTCCCTAACCTGTACTAAAGGTCTTCTGCAGTGCTGCTACTGTACTGCCCACACACAGCTTTCTTCATCCCAGTTTTTGGTTCAGTCATACATTTCTCAACAGGCCATCTCTACTCTCTATTTTCAGAGCTTTCCTTCCCTCAACCCTGCTGCCACGGCACTGTTTTCTCTAGAAGCAGAAAACTAAACACATACTGAAGGAAGCTATAAAAGACAGGAACCAAACCAGAATTATTTCCAAACAAATAAAAGAAACCTCCCCAAAACCAAAGGCCAAATTCAAAACACTTGAAGTACCTGCAGAGGGTAATGGCCTTGAGCCGGGAGACCTCTGTGCGGATGGGTAAGTTGGTGTCCTGATCCTAGGACCCTTCGAGAGCAGTGGATAGTAACAGGAACTAGAGGTCTGAGAATGCAAGGGACGGTCTGGTGATGGTGGGTTTGCAATTTCAGGTGTATTTTGGCTCTCTTTAGGTAGAGTTTCTGTTGTTGTATAAGAGAAACAGTGGTATAAGCTATCGCTGAACCCTAAAAGCTGCGATCTGATAAAGTACTTTTGGGAAGTCTTAAAAGATTACCTGTAAGGGGAACTGGGCTATGGGCAATTGTTCTGTTATCATCATGCTCTACAGTGCTGTTGATGTCAGGTTCTACGACTGGTGGTCGGCACTCCATGATCTTGCAGGTATACACACAGCGCTTCCTGGCATCTGTTGTGCTCCAGTACACCCTGGAGCACCTGGAAGATAATTCCAACATAAACAAATTTACTCAACAGTTAAGCAAATCTCATCATTCCTGTGTTACGTTTTCAGTTTCTCAAAGGCTTCCTGGCACAACGTGCTGCACACCCAGTTTAGCTGCAAGATTCCCAAACAGCAGAGGAAAGCTACAGACCATTTCAACTGATGCTACTTCAGTGCTGGTTTGGCATCTAACATACTAAGAGACATCTAATCATGAAGCAACTCATACTTACTGATAGCCGATGGGAAACAACTTATCCTCACAGTCTGAGAGGTCATTCAGAATTCCTAAACAGTCTATCGTCATTGAACCTGAGCAGAAAGAGGAACAGAAGAGGCTGACAACCAGATTCCAGCACCAAAAGTGGATTACGTATGCAGAGAGTGGATCTTACCGATCATCATGTGGATGTTCTCTGGTTCCAAGCCACTGAGAAATTTTCTTCTCAAACTGATCCCTTCAAAGTCCACAAAGACTCTCCTAAGAACTTCAAACCCATTCTCAGGAACCACCTGGAAGAAAGATCCACAAAACTAGCTGTTATTTTTAAAGGAACCGCCACATGTACGCTACATAGCCTGTCTTACTCAAGCCTCAGTTTGGTCTTTAGGTTTTTCAGCTGCCACACAGTGTCACCTGCCAAACCTCTCCATGCCAGCCCTATCACTGACTTCTTTTTAGCAGCACTGTGGTCAGGCCATTGTTAGGAAGGAACACGTTCAACATTAACTTCTAAAGAGCGCTGACAGTTACAGGCCTACCCCACCTTCAGACAAGGCAGGGGGTAAAAGAAGAATCTCACCTCTCCTTTAATCAGGTCACGATGCCTCTGGCAGTAAACTTTCTTATCGTCCAGAAAGACGCAGTTCTTGGCTCGTGAGCACATGAAATGGTAGTTACTCGTACAGGAAGTGAGGCAGCAGCCTACTGTGGCGCCCGACTTCTGGCAGAACTCACATCTCTACAAAAGCAAAATAAAGAAGAGTTGACAATTAATCTTCTTTACACCCAGGCTACCATTACCGTTGTCAGTTGGGGTTTTGGCACAGAGAGGAGTTTAGAGTAATGCCTGACCTCCCACTTCACTGCCATATCCGTGACTCACATGGATGAGCGAGACATGGAGGAGGAGGCGAGAGGAAGAAGATCCCTCACACACAACAACTTTTGCATTTGCAGACTGCTTCCTCCAGGCCCCAGGCTTCCTTGCTTGTACTCCATATCCAGGTGCCATATTTGCAAGTTTCACTGATTCATGTGACAATTATTTCTCCTGCACAGAGTACTTCCCAAGTGGGCAGCATACTAAGAGCAGTCCAATTCCATCCCTTATGCTGTTTTAATGAACATTTAGCACCAACTGATGCAATAGTAAAACAAAATTTGGACAAACTAATTTCTAGCTGTGCTTCCAGTCTCATTTTGCTCTCCTGGAAAGTAACCATCAACCAATTCACAACAGGAAGATTAGTTTGCTTCCCAAGACTGCGTGGCAGTTCAGAAAACAGGAGCCACTGTCCCTTTAGCAGTACTTAACAGAGTAGCTACATGCAAGCTCCATGTCAACATCTTTCATGTATACTCAAAGGTGAAAATGCTCCTTGATATACAATACACACAAGGAATCTTTTAGCTGGGTTCGTGTCTTTATTCTGTGTGACTGTGAAGCTTAACCAAGCATTCTTCCCTTATACCCACCAGCTGCTTTCCTCGGATCACAGCCATGTGCACGTTCTTCAGAGAACCATCATCATCTTCAAATACCTCTGCTGACCATAAAGCACAGTTCACGTGTGTCCACTCATTTTGGCCAATGTAGAGAAGGCGTCCAGCATCCTAAAGAACAGAAGGAAAAGTTCTTTCTGAATGTTCCAAGAGACACACCAAGGCACAAGCAGCATCTGGCCTACCCACGGTAGTGCTTAAATGAGCTCCCATTACACAGGCATGGGCAAGGTACTCACGTTAGCGCTGTCATCGCCATATTTCAGGCACAATGCACACTGCCTGTTGTCTTCTACATCTGGAGGTGGGTTAAGCTCAGGACTATCCTCTCGGCTTCTGTCAGAGCCTTACGGTTAAAAGAGAGAACACTGTTTATTCTTGAAAGCCAGGGAGGCAAAAATTCATCTGGAAAGACTGTCAGTAAGAGAACAGGGTGGAGGAGCCAAACAGTAGCCTCAAGCTGTCAAACAGCCAGCTTGTCAAGCAAGGCAAGGCACACACCAGGCTCTACACAGCCCTTCGCTGGGGGAAGCGAGGCAAGTGTGTCTGGGCTCAAGCTCAGCTCAGAAACATGGCATGTGTAACAGTCTCTGAGCGACTTCAGGTCACAGAGGTCTCCAGAATCCTTCAGTCACATACAGAACTAGTACCACCCTCGCTTTACTACTAGGAGGTTTGGAACGAAGCCCTCTGGGTTTGGGACTAACAGTGCTGCAATCTGTTTTCTTACTAGAGATAGGTGGCGTAGGAGGATGCAGAGGAGTGGGTGAATCTGGCTCTCCAGGCCCTTTGGGTTTTGGAGCAGGGATGATCTTCTTCATCAGAGGGGGCTGCTCAGTGCGGTTGTTCTCTTCACGCTCCTGCCACTGAGCGTAATTGTGGTCAAGTGAAGGCGGCAGAACTGCGTTGGGCAACATACCACTGCTGAAAAGCAACAGGAGCAGCTGTCAGACCTGACTACACCAGAGGACCTTGGGCCCTGGCTAGCAGCACCATTGACATTCAGTCCACAGTAACAACCCCTTTAAACTACTCCCAGTCCCTGCATGCTCTCAACAAAGGCCACAACACTCACATTTGAAGGTTTGTGATGTAGCTGGCTGTTTCTTTTGAGGGTAACAGATGCAGAAGGAGGGCCACACTAAATGGGAGTGAGGAGGAGGAGGGGGAAGGAAAGACAGGACTGACAAGCCAACAGACAACACATCTAGATCTAAATAGTGGTTTTGGTTACTCTGCTTTAGAACAAGGAAGTGCATACAAAACCTGGGGATGGGATTACTGTTTAACAACTTAAAACCAAACCAAAACAAAACAAAAAAAAAAGGGGAAAAGGAAAAAGAGAAACAGAAAACCCAACCGTCTTGTGATACTTTTTGCTTAGACAGCTGGCAAACCGCAGGGTGCCACAGTTAGAGGCAGAACAATTACTTACTTGCTTGTTACTTTATTTGGCTCCCAAAATCTGGACTTTTTTACACTGAACCATGGAAAAACACGTTCCATTTGCTGAAGGAAAACAACACTCTGTTAGAAACGTTATACAACATACCAAAAATTCAAAGACATTCAGGCAAGATCTATTCTAAATGCACAACCAGTAAGATTTCATTAACATCAACAACTCTGACAATGTATTATTTTCTTCCTGGAAATACCCAAGCAATACCAAGCATGACGGACCCTTTGGATTCCAACAGCAACAAGCAGTAGTATGAAAGTCCAGCTCACCCGGATGAAGAAGGACTTGACCATGCTATTGGCTTTCTTCACTTCTGGCTGCCCTCCATCGGAGTTAATAGCCGCTTGAATGATCTTCACAATATCATCACTGAAATCCAACTGTAAGAAAGCCCCAGCATTTCGTATCAACAGGATGTCTCTTGCACAGCTACACCACCCACTTGCTTTTTAAGGCATCAAGCGAGCATCCAGATGACTGGAAGACTGAACCAGAGCATTGACTTAAAGCAGAGAAAGGATTTAGCTGTAAAGAAATGAGCAGTCCTTTCTTCATTTGCACCCTGGCTGCAGAACTGCTACACCCACCACTGTTCACTTCTTCCTTCTACCAGGACATGACTGCTGAGTAGTTTTAAACCAGCTAAGCTGGCTAACTCACAAGGACTTGGCTAAAACCTGGCTACAGCATGTCTGCCCAGTGCTTTGCAATATACATTTCTCCTCAGGATTATGGGCTCCATAGGGAAAAAAAGAGGAAAAAGCTGTTCCCTACAAAGAGAACTGGTCCAGTCAATGCTAGTGTTGTGTATAAATGACCCCTAAAGAGATCACCCCTGCATAGATCAAGTATCAGTTTGCAGATAACTGAATGTTCTTGGAGTTACCTGACTAGGCCTTCAGCTAGAACTCGCACATGAAGGATACTCCATCCTGTTTACATCAACACCTGACTAAGAGCTAAAGGGATTTAACCAAGTGCTGCTGCTGGTTAGAGTGACCCATGCAGCAGTGCAAATTCTATGTCTTTGAACCGACGTTAACACGAGCACCAGTCAGAGTAATTTTTAGCAGCACATTCACCTGTTTCCTTGTTCATAAAGAAAAGGCTTAAGCATGCTCAATTCTAAACACCACGGGTCATAAAACCATTCATAGGCTCTGTCATTTGAGGGGAACACAAAACCTTTGACATACCACAGAAATGTAACTTCCTTGATCCATTTTTCTTTTCACTCCTTCCAGATCCAGAGGTTGCTGCTCCTCCTGTTTACTGACTTCTGTTAGGACAGGAGGGTCGGGACCTTCAGGAGAGCTTCTGGACGGGATACTCTCTTCTGTCTCGGGGTTTAAATCGGGTGGTTTTGCTGCCTGTTAACATCAGCAAACAGACAGAGGGACTTCGGCTACTGAAGTGTGGCTGCTATTCGTGACATACTCCCAGGCACACTTATGGGCTCAGAGATTCTCACTAACATGAAAGAAAGGAGACTCAACTTCTGAATAAAGGGACAAAAATGAAAGGGTCTTAACCTTTCTGCTGCTGCCCTGCAAGGCACACAGCAGGACAGAGTGATCAGCTATCAGGATCAGACTCATCTTTCAGAATTCTTACTTCTGAGTATGTATTTCAAAACTAAGATCCCATTTATCTGTCAACAAAACACCATCACAGAGATAAATCCTCCCTATTTTTAACTCTTAGCCTCACAAATTGTACTGTGGGTACCCACTCCTTTGTCTCCATAGGAATGAAGAAAAGAAAGAAAACAAAACTCGCAGTCTGTGTCATTCCAAGTCCACTAAAGGCAGTGAGATGTACAGTGATGCCAGGCAATGCTTCAGGCCAAGAAGATGTGAAGGGCCGTGAGGCTCCCCTTACCTGCCGATAGCGCAGCAAGTGGCTGGTAGTTCTGGAATTCAAGAGGGCTGTTAAAACCTGCCGTAGGGAAACCTGCAGCTCCTTCTCCAGCGCCAGCCGCCACTCCGCAGGATGGTGCTCTGTGCAGTTAATGCAGGTGTACGCTACGCTCTCCGGCAAGTTTGAGAGTATCTCATACATTTCATCTGGCGATAAGGAAAGGTAAAATAACAATCTGAATTACTTTACTGAAAGACAGCTACAGGGAAAACCCCTTCTCTGCACTTACTACCTGAAACCCTTCCCACCTAACAAAAGCATCTTGTGTGCTGAGCAAAACTGTGCTTGATATGTAAGTCCTTCACCTTCAGGACACTACTAGTATTAGTCCTGGTTTACCTGTAGCCACTCTACAGATGGTCTTGAGGTAGGTCACAACAGGTGAGGGTGCCGATATAACAGTCTAGCAGAAAGGTCCCAACATCGATCACTTTGGTCTACTCACTGCCCCATGTTCTTAGTGCCGAGGAGAAGAGGATTTGCCTTACCAGAGAGGTTTTCACATTTGGAATGCACCCAGCGGTCGCATTTCCCGCACTGCATCATCTTGCTCTCATAATCATCATCATCATAGCATTTGTCACAGAGAGGACAAAAATTTCCTGCCAACAAGAGGTGATGTTTATCAGGAGTTCAGCTGCCACACATGTCTGTTAAAGGCTACGTGGTTATTTACTAGTGTGCCAAAGAAGCAGCTCTCAGCTGCCAAGACAGTTGCATCTGCTTTTACAACACTGCAAACAATAGCCACAAAAATAACCTTCTTGGAAGAATGCTTACTGCTCTAGAATATCATTACTGGGTACCCATTTTCTGAGATTGGAGAGCCTAACAAAATACTACATGCTGTTACCTTTACAGAGTAAAGCAAGAGCACAAAGGTGACATACAGGTGGAAAGAAATTAGGTGGAACAATCAAGATTTTCTCTTCTGAGCTTCTTCCCCAAAGAGCCCAGACCCTCCTGTGTACAAAGGCATCCTGTAAAGTAACTAACACAAGAAGGAACAACCACTTTACAACAGGAATTCTGTTACTCCTATTAAGTCAGGAGTCTTTAGGCCAGGTTCAGATCCTTTTTGCATTGTGAGCAACTCAGCTGCCCCGCAGCCCCTCTGCTTGCTCTGCACTGATGCTAACTCAAACCCGAGCACCCAACAAGGCTCCTGCTGTAAAGAACCCCAACTGTACATACCTTTAGCAAAGAGTTTGGCACAATCATGACACAGCGAGAAGTCGTGGGACCACTGCGCATCCCACCCTTTGCCTGGCGTTGTTGATCCGCAGCTCTTGCAGCGAACACATTTGGTGCATATCTGGAAAAGGAATGTTTGGCAAGAGTTACTTCTGTTACCCAGAACAGAAATATCCTTATGCTTTGGTCCTAAGGATACAATTCACTGTTTTTCTTACTTAATGAGTGCAGGGGACTTATACAGCAGCAGAAGCAGTTTCAAATACTGAAACTCCCACTAAAAAGATAAAGAGCTCCCTCTGTTTACAATAAGATGGTGATAATGCCACGAGAAAAAATGAAAATAAATCACAGTAGAGTTTTTCTGCCCTATTTGCACTGACAAAAATACTTCCTTTCCCTTCACGTAAACAGCACACATAGTTGTGCCATTTCTTCTGACCTGTCTTCTTATAACAGTTTTCCAGATCTGAGACTGTTGTACTACTACTACTAACACCTAGAACCTGTTAGCACTAAATACAAGTGCACTACAGGCACCTGTTCAGAACAAAAGCTCTAGAGACACAAACCAGTGCATTAATGCACATTGTCTCTCGCTACCAGTATCTGCTGGGAAGTCTGTTAACAAGGCAAACACTTTCATTCTAAAGAGCTTCTTCCATGTCCTAGGACTACGATCAGAAGAATTACCACAACTAAAAAAGGTGTCACCTCTTTAAAAAGTCCTGCTTGTTTGAGATCTTATCTACACGACACCTATTTCCCACCACCTATTTCCAAATGTACCTTCTGATGTAACAGGCACGTGCCTTTAAAAGTAAAGTGGCTGCATCAGAACAAGTCATGTGCAGAGCCCTGGCCCACAGCATTATGATCAGCCAACATGTGAATCACCCAGAAGGAAATAAAGAAACCCTCACCCAAACTTTCTTTTTCTTGGTGGGCTTTGTTGGGTAGTTTGGGCCCAGGCACTCCGGGTGATAGCTGTTTCGGCACTTGTTACACTCCAGCAACTGCTACAAGAAGGAGGAGAAAAAGCATTGGAGCAGAGACCCCTCAGAGGGGTGCAACCCCCTGCCTGCTTTTGGTTACAACTGATCCCCCGTCGGGGCAAGAGGAAGAAGCTGCCATAAAGCAACTCGTGCGTGTCCTGCCCAGCATGGCGTGGGGTCCCCGCCGGGGTTTGGGGGTACCTTGGTGGCCTGGTGCTGTCTCCCACACACGTGGCAGAACTTGCAGCGACGGCAGCACCAGTTCTCCAGCTGGTCCTCCAGGGGCCGCTCGCTCTCCTCTAAGCAGAACTTGTGGAAGGGCTCACAACAGACCTGACAATACACAAACTGCAAGGGGGGGAGAGGCAGGTTTTAGCAAGTCAGAAGCTGCCCGGAATTCCCAAACAAGCCCCCTCGTGCTCCAAACTACTTTGAATTCTGCTCTACAGCTGACACAACAAGGATTTCTACTGGCATATTTTAGGAGGGAAACTGTGTGTGTACTTCAGATCGCTCAAATACACGCTCGTCTACCCAGAGATTTGCCTCCTAGCAGCAAATGGGAGTCTGGAACACTTTATCAGTGTTCTGAGCATTGGCAAAGACCTACAGGGCTCTTCAGGATCTCCCTCCCTTGCTGTACCACAAGCCAACTGCACAAGAAGAAAACAGTGCAGAAGGAAGGGGCAATGCAGAGCAGAGAGACATCTCTCCCTCATTCAGCTTAGGTGGCCCATTTGAAAGCTCTTTTAACTTCTATGTATAGCCCTACAAGGCTGGTCACATCACAGAAAGAACCATCCTTGAGGCAGGAACATGCCAGGCTCACAGAGGACACCAGAACAGTCTGTCCCCTTGAGCAGCCTGACTGAGAAGGAGAGGTTTCCATGACCCACTGGACCTCCATGGTCCTCAAGCATGTGCACGGATGTCCACATATATAGGACTCAACCCTCTTCCCCCCTAGGTACTGGGCACTCATAACCAAGCCTTTTCTCAAGCGTTACCATCACCTTCTGATGGTAGCTAGCCAGAAGATGTTGAGAAGCACCTATCTGTACCTGGAAATGCACTTAGCACATCTTACTGCGGCTCTTTGTGCAGCACCAGAATCTTTCCAGTCACATTTCAGTAACAGTTTGTGGCTCTCAGCAGATACAGACGTACCTGGGAAAGCCAACACCACCTGAAGCCCTCTAACATTACTGGTCAGCCTTTCTTATCTCAAGCGAAAAGCAAGCAAAGCCCCTGCTTTACATCAGATGTGGGATTCCAAATTAAGAGGAGATGTGGGTGCTCTCTGATGTGCTGCTACTCTATATGTACTACAATTCACCTCCAAAGTGAGCAGCTCAGAAACTGATTTTCAATACCTTGCATTTTAGCATCTTGTGACAAATTTTATAAGGACAGATTTACAGGTATTATTTTCATTTCTTGGGGATTAAAGTCACGATACTTTCTGTGTATGGCTGTATTTATGTCCGTAACAACACGGTGCTGTAACTAAGCGATTGACAGCAGAATGCAATGCTTTACCTCCACATGTCCACTGCTGGCACAGAGAAAACAGACCACCCTGGGAGTAATAGGTACCGAGGTGACGATGCCTAACCCACCCATCTCCCAAACATTCTCCACTTCACAGTCCTCCTGAAAGCACAAAAGGACACATCACCATGCAGAACAAGGCAATACAACATCAGTACAAAGTGCTCACACTGCTTTACACGCTCGGGGCCTGCAGTTAAGCGGCCTCCAACTGAAACCATTTCAGCTTTTGCCTTGGTCTACTTTAGAGTCCAACCTCGGTGCTGGTCTTGCCGAGAGAGCTCAGCAAAGCCCTAGCCTTCCCCTACGGAAAGCAAGCCTAAGGAACGAGACAAGGCTTTTCACGATTGCACAATTAGTACTGAAGGTGGAATTTCAGAAGAATTATACTTTATTAAAGCTCCATATTTTATAAAACACTTATGAGATCCCACTATAAGCTCCATTATCAACACTTATAGATGGACTGAAAAATTCTGATTAGGAAAATATGCACGTTTATTATTTCAACACTGTTGTTCAAAAAAGTACAGGATTTCTCATTTGAACCCCCAGATATACCCCAAATATCTTGAATTACAAGTTACTAACATTTCCCCAAATCTTGTTGGCTCAAGTTGTGGCAAGGTTTTATAGTTCCATCTTAATGGAATCATTCTTCATAAACCTCACATTCTCGCCCATCCTCACACATTGACAGTTAAGGTTTTAAAGCTTTAAGTCTCTCTTCGTCCAGTATTCTAATTATAAGGAAAACAAAAAGGCATAACCAGCTTCTAAGAATCAACCGAGTGACTTGTCCTGAAGGCTCCTATTTGCAGTTCTCTCTGAACGGAACCAGACACACACACTTAGAAGTCACTGCCAGCACTCTTGAGGGACTCTAGCTCCAGTGATTAGAGGCAGGTAACATTCAAAGACTTAAAACATTTTGTCCTCTACCTTGAAATCCACTCGGATTCTGTGGACTCCATCTGTAGGTGGCTTTTGCTTGGAACTGCTTCCGTTAGTCAGAGTGCTGAGCAAATTCAGCGTGCTGCTCTCTGGCTTGCTTATAGGAGGGGGCTTTTCCTAGTCAAGTAAAGGAGCCGGCGTTAATCCCAACCCTGAACGTCAGAACTCCACCAAAATCACATGAAATGCCGAAGATGATTCACAGACAAAACCCCCAAACCACCATGGAGTTCAGAGCGTGTGGAAGGTGCAAGTCACCGTTCTGCAAACCATGCTTGGGAGCATTCCACACGCAATTACGCAATTACATCTCTAATACAATTTGCTGCTTCTTCTCTAACATCATGTTGCTCTCTCAGCAGAGCATTGGCTTTTATTTTGCTGCAGTGGGGCAACTCTGGGCTCAATGAGTCCTTATGCGCTTCTCTCTCATATTTAAGTAAGACAATTCTTTTAGGGCTTGTTTGTTTGTGGGTTTTTTTTCCATAACAGAGTTGTTTCCAAGATGAAGGCAGCTCCATGTTCCATGGAGAAGTTAGCCTCCACCACAAAACATGCAAATCTTGGAGAACAAGTGAACGTCTGAACCGAATCTTAGGCATATGCTGGCTACTTTGGTATCTGCATCCTGCCACGAGGAGAAACCTAACATCTCTAAGTACAAAAATAATTAATCTGCACATGGGTTAAGTAATACCGTTCTATTTTCTAGAAAGACTGAAGTTCCAGGTCCCTGAAATGTACTGACTGGGTACAAAAAGCAGTATTCACCTTTTCTTTTGGTTTCTGTTTCACAGGGAAAGTTGGACGGGGAGCAATTTTTTTCTGTTTGCTTTGTTCTGTGCCTAGGAAGGGGGGAAAAATTATGAGTATTTCAAGCAACTAACAGCCACCTGTAGAGAAGAAAAGGGAAGAAAATCAGCTGGGTAACGTGCGAGGAATTTTAGAGCAGAATTTTTCCACCCCCTTCTGTGACTGCACCTCACCAACCACAGCTTGAGCAGTCTCCTTGAGGCATGAGAGGGAGTTTGCTCCACTAAAAGCCTGAAGCCAAGGCACACAGGTCCCAGAGCTGCCTCGCTGATCACTGCTCAAGCTGCCCTGTGCTATGTGCCATAGCAGACTATGGGCTTGTAGCAAAAGCTTACATTCCTCTTGCTTCACATCCAGACTGTGAACAGCCAGCAGACCTAGTGTCAGTGACATATGCTTGGAGACTGCCCAGGCACGTGACTGCAAGCCCCAGTGAAGCTGGGCAGCTTTCTCTCTGCCCCAGCACACAGCGTAGCGCAATAAAAGGCAGCCAGATCTAAGCCACATTTCCAAAAGAACCTGCTGTAATTTCACCAGATCATCAAGCATTTCTCGGGTTTAAAAGCCAACAGCTTTTAGAGGCACCAATATTGTTACTTAACATGACTCAAGTATTGAGGAGAAACAGTCCCATTTACCTATTTCTGGCTGGGGAGTCTGCTTTTTCTTAGGCTCAGAAGTGGCAAGTTTAGGTGCTTCTTTTTTCAAAGGTCCTGAGCTGGGTGGCTGAGGAGGAGGGAGCGGCGCTGGCTGGGCTGTCTGCTTGCCAGTCTTTCTGGTTCCAGGCGCAGGGACCTGTTTGGGCTCTGGCACCGGAACGGAGGAATTCCCATCCTCATGCTTTTCCTCAGTGGGCTTACGGGCAGGCTCACTGCTCTTCCTTACCGCATTGTCTTCTCTCGATACGACACTCTGAGGAGTTGGTTTCTGTCCAGAGTCCAGCTGGTTCTTTCCAGAATGGCTTTCTTTCTTTTCATTTGTCTTCGACTTCTTCTCTTTCTTTTTTGCAGCTAGAAGAAGAAGCATCAATAAAGCAACACTGCCAAAATGGCACGACTTCAAATGATTTGCCACTTACTTAAAACAAAGCAAGTTAAGAGATGAAACTTTCTCTCTGGCGCTACACTCGAGCCAAGTCTTTCAGCCTACCTTTAGCTTGCTTCTGGAGATAGGCTTTGGAAGGCATCCACTGTAGATTCTGACATTTCCTCATTCTAAAAAGAAAGAGCATGCCAGGAAATCAGAAAAAGAACGCAGGCAGTGAGAGGGCAGTCTGTAAAAGCTCCATGTGAAAACTTGACAAAACCATTATCAATACACCCACTACTTTCTCCCAGGCAACTCCCCTGCCCTTCAAAGGTGTGTAAAGAAAATTCTTATTTTCTTCTGCGTTTTCCCTTTGGTTTCCCACACTCTCAACACGTGGTTTTGAAACCTCACCTGCAGCCTGGGCAAATCTGCTGCATTCTCATCTCACAGGTGAGCATTGCACAGTGATCCTCACAGCTATGCTGTGGAAACGGCTCTCATGCCACAGCAATCTCTAACAGTGCCACTTCAGCTGCTGCCTTTTCAGACAAGATTATCTTGTCTGTTAAGTCAATTTAATGTAGCAATTTGAAAAAGCAAAAGGTTCAGGCTAAGTGATACATGTGAAAACTGATAGAAGAAAATATGGACGGGCAGTATTGCTTAATGACATCCTCAGACACCTTTGTCATATCAAGTGTATGTACACCAGATAAACATCATCTTCAAAACATCAGCTCTACATGGATGCAATGTGGGAAAATGAGAGAGAAATACGTATGTCTGTGCTGCCTTCCCCCCAAAAACCCGCACTGCCTAATCAAAGTCACTGGTCTCACACCAAACGCTTTCCGTGCCATGCTAGTTCCCGTCAAGCTGGGAAGAATAAACCAGAAGTGAACTTTGGAAACAAGCACAACTTGAAGCGGGATCTCCAAAATGCCCTTGTTCACATTCCCCTGCTGTGATCCAGCCTCAGCCCAGGGCAAATTCACTCCAAGCCCATGCTCCAGGGTTCCCTGTCCCAAAGTACGCGTGGGCTCATCCCAGGCAGCACAGGGATGGGCTGAACTGTTTCTCAAACACACTTACTTGCAGCACTGCTTCTTTATGTTGCGCCCACCAAACTTGGGTTTGTCTAGACAGTTGGTACAGACACCGCAGTCCTCTGGAACCTGACAGCCCGAACACTGCCCACAGCGCCTCGAGCGTCGGCCCTTCTTCACCGGAGGTTCTTGTTGTGCCTTGTTCCGGGTAACTGGCTTAATTGGCTTGATCGGTGGAGCAAGAGGTTCAGCCTCTTCCGAGCCAGCTATCGATGACTTATCTGTCAAGAAAGTTGCTAGTGTAAATTCACTGATGTCAAAGGATGTTCCAAGTGTCTAATTTGCTCATGGAATTTATTCCCTTAAGGGCAGGTACACCAGCAGAGCTACACAAGGGGCATGTGTGAGTGCAAGCACAAGCAAACATATGTACCTGTACATATGTACAGGCACACACGCCCCTCAGCAGAAGAGAAGTTTAGTGCAGAACACATTTATAACAGCTACCAATGGTAGACAGGATTCACCCTGTTTGAGCAGCACTGTAACAGTGAGCCCGGAACTCTGTAACACACTTTCCCTCCCTCCTTAACCATTCAAAGCAGTCCTTGGCTTAAGCAGTCAGCCAAAGCTGGCTTTGTATGAAGCCAGAGGTGAAGACTAAAAAAAACCCTAACTCACCATCATTCCCCATGGAAGACAGTATCTTCTCCCGCTCTTCCCACGGTAAGGCACTCAGAGTGGGCATGTCATCTGGGAAGACCGCTCGTTTGCGGCCCAGCGCAACAGCCGCTCTCCTGCAAACATGTTTGATTCGTGGTCCTCGGACCGATGTTTCTGATGAATCGCTCTCTTGTCCCTAGAGTTCAGAACATGGGAACAGACAGCATCCCTGAGAAAGGCTGGGAAACACGTAACAAACTTCTAAACTACTGAAAAAAGAGTTCGTTTGTATCTTGCACTTAGCCAGAATCGGGGTAAAAAGAAGGACTCTCAGCCTCGTAAGCCTGGATGATCCCAGCGAGGATAAATTCAAAAGGACAAGAGGTTCTACTGAAAAAAGGACGGGGCTCCCTCCCCCAAGGTGACTACACAGCAGCTCCCTCTCCCCCTCAGCTTCTGCACAGGGTTTCTCGGTCTTGGGCCATTTGCCATCTGTTGCTCTAACAGCTGCCCAGCTCTGCACGTTAATTCTTCACACTTACGATGTGAAACCTACCGGTGACTTCCAGGGTGAGTGCAACTCAAGATGCACCCCAGCAAATAATAAAACAACTTGGAAAAGGGAATACCTGTGCTTTTGGCTGATCTGCTTGCTTGAGGGACTTGCTCTTCTCAATCTTGTAGAGCTGGGCTTTAGCCTTTTTCAGAAGACTGGCCACCCTCTTGTCAGTCATTGGCAGTTTGTCTGCTTGAGCCAACATAGAGCTGATGGAAGAAGCGGAATGTTTAACGGTGCTGGACGAAGGAGCAGAGAGACGCAGGGCTTTTTCCTTCTCCAAAGAGGGCATGGCAGGGCTGAGGTCCAGGTCCGACTTGTCTAACCCTCCTCTACCTTTCTTGGATGTTTTGGTTTTGCTGGCTGCTGCGTCGGCCAGTGCTGCAGCAGAAGCATCTGCCACAGGGTCGAGTGCCGCAGACTTTTTCCGCCCCCCTGTTTTTTTGGCAGACGATGATGCTGCAACATCCTCACTGACAACTTTCTCTTTGGGCATTTTACCTACAGGGAACAAGGCAGAGCTACTCTGGATTTCTGACCCTTTCCTCCTTTTCTCCTTCCTTGACTCACGTTTGTTCTCCTTCTCTCTCTCTCGGTCTTTCTCTCTGCTCTTGTCCTTCTCCAGGCTTTTGTCAGCATCTTTATCTTTGGAGAGTTCCTCTGCCGCCCTGTCCTTGTTCCTGCCTCTCTCCGTCTGGGGACTTGACGTGAACCAGGGGAAGAGAGGAGCAGGGCTGCTGGAAGAGAAGGGCTCTGCCGGAGTGCTCGTCTGCTTCCTTGGTCTCTGGCTTCTTTCTGCTGATTCCCCAGCCGGCGTTAGGGAATGGGAAGGAAAAGTGAAAGTTGAATTTAAGGCACTAGTGGCAAGAGAACTAACAGAAATGCTCGTTAATGAGGAAGAGACAGAAGACTGGGGGGTGAGCGTTGTCAGGTCAGAGGTACTAAGTCTCCCGCTTCTTGTCCTCATGGAGTGCGAAGGAGATCTGGGTTCCGAGCGGATGGGGCTGAACACTCTCCTCTTCCGCTTCCGAGAGGAGACACCTGTGGCAGAGGCCCCTGCAGTGGTGCGACCGACCGATGAGGGCAGAGTGACAGATTCAAAGATCCTGGAGTGGGCCTCGCTCGGCGTGAACCTGGGTGCTCTCAGCAGAGGACTTCTCTTGTGCATGTCAAACCTCGCTCCAGACTGAAGAGAGAAGAGGCGTGCTGGAGCCGTCGCACCAGGGGTTGAGAAACCAGAAGCAAAGCCGACGTCCTCTGGTGTCAGTGGCGGGGGCCTGAAGTTATCGAATATCGGTTTGCGAATAAGACCCTCTTTGGCATATTTTGCTGAGGAGAAGTACTGTGGTTCCGAACGGGAATGCTTCAGGGAGGTCCACCTAAACGTCGGCTCTCGCAGAATTGACTTACGTTTCTCTTGCATCGGCGCGGCAGAAGCGGGAAGGAAGGGGGAGGCCAATGGTATGGTGGGAGGCATCAGCCAGGGGGTATGGTCCGAGATGCTGGAAGCAGGCTGCAGTGGTGGCGGGGGAGTGAGCAGGGGGGGAGGAGGAGAGGAGGAGGACTGCTGCTGTGGCACGCTGGGCAAGGCCGACAGCTTTTTAGTAGTCCTCTGGCCAAAACTTCTCTCTGCTATTGAAAACCTCCTGTTTCTCCTATCACCGTTATCATTTTCGGGGGACTGAGAAACAGGCAGCGGCGTGTGGACCTCTGGAGTGTTGCTCCGCTCCTCAGAAAGCGTTTGCAGCTCCTCGGAAGCCTGAGAGTCTGTTGATGTGTCCACGCTGGGGCTGCTGGATCGTGAGGAGTCTGAAGACATCTGGGACGAATGCTGGGAGGCGGCGCTGGACTTCTCGCTGGAGCCGCAAGACGTGGCACTGAACCTGCTGTTGGGTGTAGATTCCAGTCTGGATATCTTAATGGGAGGATCGTAGTCTTCATCCTCAATAAATCGCTTGGGTGTTTTGATAATCCGTGAAGAGATCGCACTCACAACTGGCATGATGAACTGGCGGATGTTCTTGAGCTGGGTTCTGCCCTTCCTGCCCTGCAGTTTGGCTGCCTCTTTCTCAATCTTCTTCTGTGCCCCCTTTTTAGCCCTCTGCAAAAGCTGCTTCGCAATCGTGGCATCCGTCCTTTTGGTGGAAGGTATAATCCTAACGGGCTTAATCCTGCGTGGACTCTGCCTGACAGCCGTCTTCTCCTCCTTGGTAAGAGGTGGTGTGCCATCCTTTTCTTTGCGAATCCTCTGGGGCTTCTCCAGCTGTGAGTTCATGACCAAGGTGGAGGACATCTTCAAACGCTCAGAGGACGGCGGGCGGCCCCTCCTGCGCACGATCTGAACGCTCTTCCTCCCAATCTGAAGTTTCGCCCCAGGCTTAAATTTAGATTTCAGTGGGGAGAGTTTACTAGTTCTTAACTTCTTGATCTTTGTTGCTTGCTGAAATGTAGTGGATGGTGACCTTTTGATTTTCTTCAGACTCTCTTTTTCCTCTTTGCTGCCCTTCTGAATGTCCGACGCATCCTTTACTTGTGACAATTTGAACTTCACACTTGTAAGCGTTGGAGGTCTTCCTCGCCTTTTTTCCCCACTCTTCAACTCCTTCTTCTTGACTTTCTCCATAGATGTGGTTTCAGACTTGCTTGAAGGGGAACACACTGATGATGAGTCTGACAGCACAGCTGAACTCCGGTCAGAACTGCTCCGGGGCCTCCCACGAGGCTTGCGGGGACTGGATTTAACTGGGAGGGAAGCAGAGAATGCAGAGAATACGTTAAACTGCCCAAGAGTCGGATCAGCATCACTCACGCCACACTGGACTCAGTGTCAGTCACACTGCTGTATGAGTTGCAGTTTTATCAATACATGTGAAGAGCACAATCCAACAAAGTTGGAAGCAAGGTTTCCCAACAAACCTCTCTGCCTTTTCACAAAGCTATGTGTGCAATAGCACAAACCTACTCTCAACCTGATGTTGAAAGAGAACAATAATTCCCAAGGGCATGTGCCATCTTTCAAACACATTAAAAGATATTTTTTTTGTTCTTTCTTTTTTAAGCAGATCACAGCTAGCTGGAGGGGAAAAAAAAAAATCCTTCTCCTCTAGTACCATCCATCTGCACTGCTGAGAGATGGGTCAGTAACGCAAGAACAACTACAGGGAGGGGCTGATACAAGGCAATTTACTAAAACCTACCTTAGTTTTAGCTTTGCAACACAGTTTGCACTTGGCATTGACTTGGACTCACAGGCAGATTGCAAGACTTGATTACTCACCCTTACCAGTTCATTTAAAGGCATTTTCCCCAACCCAGCTACCCCTGGGTAGCTCTGGTGCTCCCAGAGCTCTGACCACACGCATGGTTCTTCACATGGAACACCCTGTGAGCAGGGCTTTCCACGGGCTCCTCTCTGGCGAGGCCAAGCCACGTAGATCACTGTGAATGAGCAGTGTGCTGCGGTGAGAGCATTTATTGACAAGAACCTAAATCAAAGCTGAACTCATCCACCAGCAGTTCCATCATGGTTTGAGCCTACCTCTTGAAAGCTGAAAATGCAGCAGCTCAGCTATAGCCTATCCTCAAGAGTTCTGTACTTGTTTTGTATCCAAAAAATCAAAGGTTCCAGTTACAGGCAACAATGAATCTACTGAAAGATACTGAAATACTCAAATCAGTTTTAGATCCTTACTATTAAAAGAATTGCCTCTCCAAAACACTCACATGATGTTTCAAGCACTGGTTTCATCAATATCACTCCTTGACTCAGTTTCCCTGTTCCGTAACAGACCAGATTTACAGATTCTGAAACTAAGGGAGTCGACTCCAAAGACAGGTGCGGTTTTTACAGTGGGTTAGATTTGATGGAACAAACAGGACAGGCACAGCAAAGCCATCGCAAAGGAGAACACACAAGTCAACATCCCATCCTGCCCCTTGAACGTACCTGTGGGGGACCTGGCGGGACTTTGCACTTTGACTTCTTCATCTGAACCAAAACCTAGAAACTGTTCATCCTGCAATGAGAAGGAGAGTGCAAATTTGAAGACATGGGTATTAAAATCAAAATGAACTTCACTGCGATCAAAGCACAAAAGGATTCCAGAGGATCTTCCCTCCCCCAGTGACATTCAGGCATTTGTTCTTCTACCAAACAATTGCTCAAGAGGAAACACAACTTTTGTATGTATGTATAAGGCTGCTACAGAATGATCAAAAAGAAACAAAGGCAAGTATATATGGAAACAAACCCTTAATGCACAAATTCTGCTGCTCCTATCAAAGCACAATGGCCTCCTCCTCCAAGCTATTAATCAAACTGCCCTAAAGACATACTCCAGCCAAAGAAGTGTCTCCAGATTTATTTTTCTAGTACAAATGTCAACCAACTTCCTCTAAACTTGTGCAAAAGCCCCTCTGGATGAGCAGAAGCATCTGAGGTCTATAATTCAATGCTTATGGCCTCTGGAAGGAAACTGCATGATTTCAGGGCCTTTTTGGACCCTCCCAAGGTCCATGTGCTTCCTGATGAATCCCATCCATTGGCTCCACTACACAAGAGCCTCCAAGCCTGGCTAAGGAACAAGTTAGGGTAATGCTACTGACAGGAAGGCAGAACCATCCCCAAACGTGGGCTTCGCTCATGCACCCCAGGAGTCAGAGCATGTCACAGCACTAAATAGCACTAAAAACACCACAAACTGGTAAGATGGCAGAGCAGGCTTTTTCCCAGGGGCACTACAGGGTGCTTCCTCTCCTGTGTTTCCCAGCAAAGTCACCACTAGGAAAGCATTTCTTGCTCAGGGACCACAACCTTTACTGGTTGTTGTATTTCAAAGAACAATGAAATTAGTAGCCACTTAGGGAATATTACAGAACATCAAGGGCACTCATGTTAACAACTGACCCTTGATTACAAGAAAAGTGGTTTCTGGTGTTGGGTTAGGGTTTTCTTTAATTCACTTCAGGCTTTGTCTTCAGGAGAGATGTAAATCTGACTTCATCACAGAGCTCTTCCCTCCAACACTAAAGGCACTCTGCTCACATTCAGACAGGTTTTTCAGGGAGGGTGCAAAACTCAGTCCTGCTCATCTGCCACCAGAATTTGTGGCACGGTTGTTTGCACATTGCTCCAGCTCTCCTAGTCTGATTTCACCTCCAGTGTTTATGTTTGCCAGCATTAAGTTGCCTCTGAACTCTTAAAACAGGGATGTCACTTGTTGCTTGCTTCTTTAAAGCAAGATGTCAACCTGGCTGCATGCTAGAGTTATTACTGCAGCGCTGGCTCCTCTCAGGGATCTGTGTGGACTTAAGTTGTTACAGAAACAGCAGCCTGAAAGCAAAAAGGTGCAACATCCTGAATAGGAGAAGCTGAGCTGTGTAAATAAATGACCTTTCCTGGAGCAGCTGATGAAACACTTTGGCAAAACAGTGCCGCCTTCTGCCTCTGCTTTCTACATGACATTTCCAATTCATCTCCCTCCAGGATGGACCTCGAGGAGAGTCTTTGCTACTGAAAGCACAGTTTAAGGACATTACAATACATGCACAGAGACCTGCACCTGTGTCTAAGAGGTAAAAAGCAGCAAGACCCAAGACACACTGTTTCTCATCCTCAAACAATACCGATACAGTAAACAGCCTGAACAGAACCCATTCAAGTTTTCACCACAGATAATGCAGTTCATCATCCCTGTAAGGAATTAATCAGCATATGCTGTGGAGCAGGGGACAGTTCTGCCCTTCCTCCTTACATCCCTGTTCCCCCTCTGCTCTGTGCCATTGCAGCACCAATGCCCAGGAAATGTGAAAAAAGCAATGACAAAGCCATTCAAAAGAAATAAAATTACACCAAAGTGTTGTTTCTACCCAAGGATCCTCACATCACACAGACACCCACCCAGACCTTTCCCTACCACCGCGCAAGGCTGATCCTGCAATCGCAACCCTGCAGTGAGAAGGAAAAGGGTCCCCAGCACCGCCAAGGGGAGAGAGCCTGGTGACAGAGACAAACTAAGGCTGAAGTGGCCCGAATGCTGTGGATGCAGCAGGGAACAGCAGGCTGCCCACCAACAGTCGAGGTCAGGAATGCAAAGGGAGCAGCCACTCACCTTCCTTAGCCTGCCAGAACTGAGACCTGCAGCATTTCCAAACACATAGCATGTGCACACAGCGCACACTGGGCACAGAGACACGCCGAGTGAAACCAACTCCTGCACGTGCGAGCACATCTCCCCCAAGAACACAGAAATTACTGCTGCCAGCAGAAGCCTCTCAAGGCACGTGTACAGCCCCTTGGAGGAGAACCCTACAGACTGCTCAGTGAGCAAGGACAGCAGAAGCACACCCAAGATGCAGAGCCCTCCCTATGCAACGCTGCTGTGCTCGGCTCTAAGGACTCCTCACGTTTCCAACACATGACTTAAACCACCAAACACTAAAGCAAACAAATGCTTTTCAGGAAGAGTAACAGACACAAAGACTTCTTTCCAAGGTTGAGTAAGAGCCCACCCCTGCCCACAGAGGCAAGTTCAGTGTCATCTAAATAATCCTTTACACTAAAATCAGTTCCTGGCACTCAACTTAAGTGCATGTGAAATGCTCACTCTTGGCCAACAACTGCAAACTTCTGGTAATCAAGAGCAATATTCAACAGAGCCTCACCAGCTGCAAATGCAAACAACCTCCCATCTAACAAAAGAGCTGCAAGGGGCTGAGTGCGTGCAACTGGGAATGAGGATGCACCTGAGGTAGGAACCTGCCAGTTTGGTGTCAAAATAATACACAAGTGTATTTTCTGCTCACTGCTCTTCTGCCCAGAACACAACACTGGGCTTGAAGGCAGGTGAGTGCCCACTGTGATTTCAACGGGAGGAATCCCCATCCCTGGCCCAATATCCTGGGAATGCTCATTTTTTTTCATTTCCTACTGAGCAGCCACCAGAACTGCCTACAGTGAAACAACTCCCTCCACAAAAGCCTCCCTTTGGCTGTTTGCAACTACGAGTAGCATGGCCAGTACGTTGTTCGCATCTGCTCGGTGCTGTTCCTCACTGCACCGACGACCTCAAGTCACCACCTGAGAGGACAGCCTTGGAACACATCGGGGAAGACAGAGAAGGCCACCGAGCCAGCATTGTACGTCAAACGCAGTTCTGAGGCATAGGAAGCAGGAACATCCTCCCTCCAGTTTTCCAGAAGTGACTATAAAACCTGACAGATGGCGAGTGATTAAAAACCATAATGATTTTGAGTGTGACCTCATTTACCTGAGAAAGAATAATGCAACACAAAAAAGGTCACTGGGGATGATACATAAACAGATGAGATAAGGTCTGCCTCAGGTGCAAGACATTAAGCCCAACACAGCAGGCAAGGGTCGATCCCTCCATGGGCAGCAGAGCTTCCACATTTACCTCCTACCCAAACATTACCCGACCTCAAAGCTGCGAGCAGATGAAGAAGGGCTTTCCCTGCAGTAGCCCAGCTACTAGAACAGAAAAGTTGCAAGCACATCTCTACTGCAACCTTCTTGAGCAAACCTACTTTTCTGAGAATTTCCAACTAAAGATCTCAGAGGAAAACCCACCTTCAAGTGAGAAACTATCCTGCAGGCACTGCCTGAAGTTTCAACCTGTGTCTGTGGAGTAACACTGGAGCCCGTACCACTGCAGGTGCACACAGTTGCACAGAACTGTCCTCAAAGCTGTCAAAAGCACTAAAGCAGCAATGGAGCTGTTCAATCGTCTCTTGAAAAGGTTTGCTGTTTTAGAAGAGTCATCTGAACAACCCTGTACTTCTCTTCCCGTTCACCATCTTGGGTTTGGCCCCAATTACACATCTTCTTGGAAAGAGAGAAGCTATTTATAGCAGCTCGCTCCAAAGCCTGCTTGGTAACTACAGCACAATATGGAACAAACTCCTCTTCCTTCAGCAGGGTAAACGTCCTCGGAGGTTGGCAATTAGTAACCCCGAGATAAATGCTGGATGTGCTCTATGCTCGTGTCAGGAGCAGTCATCTGGGAGCTCAGGAGATGCTTCCCAAGCAGTTGCTCGCGATGCAGGATCGCTAAGGAGCAGTGGAGCACTTGGGGTTATTGATGGATACTGACCTGGCTGAGGGTTTGCCCGTCCTTTCAGTCTCTCATTAGAGGACAGCTCTGAACAGGAGTGATGGGAGTGACGCATGACTCTGCAGGGCCTTCACCCCGAGACAGCACTGACCTGCACAGGGTGTCCCGAGAGCACAGAACAGCTCTCACCTGGTCACTGCCACGCAACCGCCCCAACTGCACCAACGGGCAGGTACACCCTGCTGCTGCCATGCAGCGTACCATTGACAATCCACCATGAGAATACAACCATGAGTAGGGCTGCACCCTCCCGAATGAGCTCCTTGGACTGCAGGATTAGGAAAAGCCGCTCTTTATGGGGCTGAAGCACAGTACACCCATCCTGGCAGTGTTACGAAGCATGCAGAGCAGTTTCATCTGCCAGGACATCAAGAACACCTAGTGTCAGAGGTTACAACTAGCCAGACCCCTGCCCACCAGCCAAGTCACCAGCAGCAGCCCACTAACAGAACGCAGTTGGTCCCCATTTTCCACAGAGCGCTGGTTGTCCCCTGGATGAGAAACTGCCATTTACAATTTCCACTCTGAATGCTCTGGGATGCTCTTTAGAGCACTGGAAGCAGTCTCATGCCGGTTCCAACAAGCTTTCAATACCACTTCCAAGGAAGAGGGTCAGCCAGGCTGTTACATAGAAAGATTCATTCTGTAACCAAAGCAAGACCAAGGCTTCCCAACCTCTTCTAAGGGATCACTGGCAACATCATGCCCTGGCAACTGTAATCTGCCTCTCCTGGGTCCAAACCAGACAGTTAGAAAGTAACACTTCACACAGACTTGGATAACTAAGAAAAGAAAAGATTTCTAGAGCTTGCTGCTAAATTAAGGCAGATGTAACAAAGCTGCCCAACACATCAAAACAGCTGGTTGCAAAACTTAGGATATGCCTTAAAGTTGTTGTATCGACGCATTAAAAGCCACGTGCAGCAGCGACAAACTCATCTTCCTCTCCTAAAGAAATGCATCCACCCGGCAAAGCACAGAAGTGGTGGTAAAGTCAAGCTCTGCTCTGCAGCTTGGCTCAGTGGGGAACAGCTGGCCCCTCTCTGGGAATTTCATGGTATCCTTCGTCCTTAAGGTTTGAGAATTCACTTCCTGCTGGTGCACAGGACTGACCAGAGGGGACTGACCACAGCAAGTGACTGTCCTGTGCTTCCAGCTGTAGGAACCCAAGTGCCAAAAAGCCCCTGGAGCAAACCTGTCAGTGCGCATTGAAACCACCTCACCTGCCCATCACTGCCGCCAGCAACATCACTGCCACACAGAACAACTTCTCACAGGGAACCCCACACTCCTTCCCCCCAAAATCTTCACAAAACCACTCCTGAGAGTTTCCCATACGGTGTAACGCTGCCTGAATGGTGGACACTCACCAGGATGGTTAAAACATGCACTTTATTTTCACGCTTCTGACAAAGGAGCACCTGAGTCTTCAGCAAGAACAAAAAGCATGCAGGAGCCCTCCACCTCTGGGGCCATGGTCCATACTGCCTGCACCATGCCTCTGTTTTTACATCAGTGCCTACAGGCAGTTCCCTCCCCATGTGCACGCAGTACCAGGCAGGGCTCAGCACCACAACCTCACAGACTGAGCACCAGGTGGTTTCACAGCAGCTGCTCAGCATCAGCCAGGAGAGGGACTTTGGAAGCAGGCAGCAAAACTGTAATGCCTGTGGAGGAAAGGGAGTAATCAGCACTCGCAGCTGAGGTGTGACCATGGCAGGAGCGAAGCCACTCCTTCCTCCCAGCACATGGATCTGGTACCGACTCAAAACAAGCCATGGGTGAACATCCCTGACTCCAACACACACCTCGTAAAACATTACAAGCTGTGTATAATTGCAGCAGCAGCGCTACTACAGACACTGTCACTGCCACCACGTTCCGCTGCAAACCTCAAGTCCCTGCAGCTCTCAAGCCTATGCAGATTTATGGAGTAAACTGTCAACATGCATCCAACATGCTCAGCTTTTATGTCCCAAAGCTTCAATTAAAGTTGGGAGGCGGGAAGGGAGCTCTCAACTGACAGGCACAGAAGATATCTAACAGTGATGCACAAGCTGCTTCTATACCAAATATTGATGTAATAAACCAAGAAAGCACAGCCAAATGTCCCCTGTTGGGAAGTGCCACTCACATCAAGCCGAAAGGGTGACACGCAGTGCAAATGCCACCATGTTCAACCACTTACAGCTCTACTGTGCTAAAAGGCCACCACCTCCCACCCCAACTCCTGCTGTGCCAAAGTCAGGTATCGTACTGTCGCTCCCTTAAAGCAAGCTGGTTTCAGGATAAGTCAGTGACACACAGAGCTGCAGCGGCGGCCAGGGGTTCCTACAGTGTCACCCAAAACACCCCAGGAGTATGCGGGGCCACCCCACAATTTGGGTACCTTTACATCAGAAACAAAGTCTGCTCCATCCCACAACACAACTGAGGAGACAAGATGAGGATCAAGTGTAACAGGTAGTTAGTTACACAAGTGATCCCTCAGCCCCACGGAGAACGGTGCAAGCACCAAAGGACTGATGAGCCCTGGTCAGCAGGGTCTTCTGGAAGCCCCTTTCTGGAAGAACATCTCCACCCAAAGCAGGGTACCACACAGCACCAGAACTTCACCATTTCAACACCAATGCTCAGCTGCCCCTGCCCCTAAGGGGAGCATGGGGGGCATCCACGTGTGCTGGAACTCTTTCTGCATCCTCCACACTCATCCCACAGGAGGGAAGAGCTCATCCTACTGCTTCTGGTGGCCAGCAGCAGCACTGCCATCTTCACTATGACTATAAAACATGCAGTCATGCTCAGGAGAATGAGGTCCTTCAGTGCAAAACTGCTCCATTTCTCCCAAGAAAAGAAATCAGCTTGGTGAACTAACTGAACCTGAATGTGCCCCCGAGGACGCCAGAACACTGTGCAAACTTGGGGTGAGGGAAAGGTCTGGGGTCTTCCCCTTCAACCCCTGCTCCTGAGAGCCCAGGTGAAGCTCAATCTGCTGACACCAAGCCACAAAGACATGAGCATAACTTTCCACTGTATGTCATGTTATTAGACAGAAGACTTTAGCAGCTAACTAGAAAAGCAATGCAAGAAATAAGCTTCTTCAGATACAAGAGACCTTGTCTCCATCAGCTGCTGGCACCATGAACATACTGATGCTATTTTAAAGCAAGGATGCCCCAGAGGCCAAACTCACATAGACCTTCTGAGAATGTTTTAGAGGGATTCCGAGATGCAAAAAACCTGCTTTAAGGCAACTGGAATTAGAGTAAAACCCAAGCAACCAGTGTCACCTCAGAGAAAAGCAAGAAAAAAGCAGCTCGCCTGCCCCCAACCCCTTGCAACGTGTTACCTCTGTGGTTGGGTTGGTTGGCGGATTTCAGTCATTTCTGCCATTGAACCAGCGCTGGAGATGCATTGACTACTTTTAAGCAGCCCTGGTAAATTCCACTGCACCCAGTCTACTGCAGACAGAGACTGTACAAGTGCCCTAAACCGCAGCCCTTCCGACCCGGGCTCTGGGTAACAGGCCTGGGGAGGGCAGCTCCAGGTGACACCTGCAGTGGTGGGCACAAAGGTGACGAGTGCTCCAGGACCAGTCCTGGGCATGCAAAGCCAACCCAGTACTGCAGCCTGAACCCTGCAGCCCGGAGTGACTCCAGCTCAGCCGCGGGTGAGCAACTCTAGTGCACAGCGCTCAACAGCGTGCACCCAAACCAGGCTGAGAGGCACAGAGACCTCTATTTTTAATAAATAAAGTTCATTTAACAAACTCTGATATGGCCAGCGAGGGAGAAACCGAGGAAGTGCTCCTGAAACCAGCAAAACATCAACAAAGATAGGCTCTCCCACTCTGCAGCTGACAACCTGCCTGAGAAGAACAGATAGACCTGGCCTTGAACAAACCAACACAGCTCCTGCCACAAAGGCCCTGGGAATTTTCGTGCTGGCGCAAGGACGCAGCTAACAAGTGATGCAAAGCGAGGGCTGGGGGAAAGCAGTGCTGCAGCTCGTAGTAAGCAACACACCCCCATCATGTCTTCCCTGTGCTGTCAGTGGGTGGGCTGTTGTCAGACTCCTGCTCTGGCTGCCTTCGAAAGGCTCGGACAAAAATTAAAATGAAGATGAAGGCAGGAAAAGGAGCAACTACGGGAAAAAAAAAGGAAAGCCGCAGCCGGCGCTCCGGCTGGCCGCGGCCGATGACTGCCCCGGGCTCCGCCGCACCGGGCCGCGAAGGGGAGGATGCCCGCGGTCCCCCCGCGCCGCCTCCCGCGGGGGAAGGCCGCGTTTCCCCGCAGAGCAGCCTCCGCAACCGGGAGAGACGCGCGCCCGGCCCCGCATAGCCACCCCCCGGCCCCGTCCTACCTCCCGGGAGCGGGGAAGCGCGTCCGTCCCCGCGCGGGGGGCGCGGGAGAGGGAGGGAGAGAGCGGCGGGAGGAAGATAATGGAGGCGGCGGCGGGGAGGGCGCACCGGCGGCAAGTCGCGTGCGCGGGGAGGGACCGCGCGGCGCGGAGGCGGAGGGCGGCCGTGCCCCCCCCGTCACCCCCCCTGCCGCTCCCGCCCGCCGCGCCGGGCTCCCCCCGCGACCCCCTCCCCTCCCAGCCCGCGGGCAGGCGGCGGCGGCGGCGGCGGGGCGCGCCCTTTGTGCGGGGAGCGGGAGCGGCGGCGCGGGCCCCGCGGGCGCGGTAGGGGTAGGTGTGTCCGTGCGGCGCGGGCAGGGCTGTGCGGGCAGGGGGTGTGCCCGCGCCGCCGCCGCCGCGGAGCGGGGATGCTGCGGGCCGGGACCCGCGGGCCGCGCCGCGCCCTCCCCCCCGCCCCGCCGCCCCATCTCACCTCTCCGCTGCCCGCCTCGGCGCCGCAGGCCGCGCGGAACCGCCGCAGGTTGATGCCGATGGCGGCCGAGACCTGGAGCGCCGCGTCGAAGCCGGGTCCCACCCCGGCCGCGGGGCCCCCGGAGCCGCCGGAGCCCGGCGCTGCCCCGCCTCCCCCGCTTCCCGCCGCCCCGCCGGAGCACGGGCCGCCGCGCTCTCCCTCGCCCGCCGCCGCCGGCGCCGCCGCCGGCTCGGCGGGTCGCAGGCTCCGCACGGCCGGCACCCGCAGCCGGGACCCTCCCAGCCCCCGGCGGCCCCAGCCGCCGCTGCCGGGCCGGGCAGGGAAGCGCCACCGACCGCTGTGCGCCATCTTTACTGTGAGGCGACGAGCCAGAGAGCGGGGCCGGGCCGCGCCCCGCGCCCTGGATACCGCCTCTCCGGCCCTTAGAGCTGCTGCATAACAGCGGGCTTCATGCAGGTTGCGGGGCCCCGCCATCCCGCCGCCCGGGCGCCTGAGTAAGCCATTAGCGACGGATGCCAGCCCGGCATAACGCTGGGCGATATGCAGGGTCCCGGGCGCGAGCTCCTGCGCGGCCCCCCGTCCTGGATAGCTCAGCCTCCCGTCGCCTCAGCGCCTCATAGCTCGGAGGGCCATCCAGGCGCGGGGCCCCCCTCTGGAGGGCCCCGGAACGTGCTTGCTGCAGTACCGAGCAGCAAGCAGCCCGCATAACCGCGGCGGACATGCCGAGGGAGGGCGCGAGGAGCCGGTGCCCGGGGTCGCGCATACGGCATAGGCGGCCCCGCCACCCGCGTCCATAGCGCCGGGCCCGGCGTGGGGCGAGGGGCGCCGGCGGGAGGGCGCGGGGCGGACCCGCCCCTGGGCCCCGGACGGGGATCCCCGGTGGCAGCCACCCCAACGGCCGCGGGCGAGAGGCGGGAGCTGGAGCGCACCGAGCCCGGTTACAGAGCGCTCCGTCTGGGGAACGTGCGGTACCTGTGTCCGGCAGAGCGCAGCGGAGGCAGGCAGGGGCCGTTGCCCCACGGCGGAGGCCACCGGGCAGGGGGCTCTGCGGTGTGAGCAGCAAAGGAGAGCTCCTGCAGGCCACGGGCTTCAGAGGTGCCGCTTCTGCTCCTCTCAGACCGGGGTGCTCGGGGGCTTCCCACGCGGAGTTCAGGGAGGGAAATCCCAGTTGGACTGTGCCTGTCTCTCGAGGGAGCACGACCAGGCCTGGAGCGTGCCCGAGCTCTGCCCTGCTTTGCCAGTCTGGTTTAACCCAATCCTCCCAGTACAGGCAGTCTGAAGTACCCCCCACGGCGCAGCTCCCTTGCCAGTGCGTGTCCGTCCGCCCCAAGAACAGAGTGCACAGGTCAGAACAAGTCCCACAGGGTGGGCAGCCTTTGAGCAACATCAGGCACAGTCACTCCTTGGTCCAGAAACCTTCTGTGAGTCAAGATCATGCTTTAAATCCTTCCTGTCCATCTTGATCAAGAGCCACCTCCCTGTGCTGCGGGGCCTGGCAGTATCTTCCTGCTGGGCAATGGCTTTAGGAAGGGAGGAGTGAAGAGCTCCCAGTGAGGTGCCATTTTCAGGGCCATCCCTCAGTCTGGCAGGCTCAGGCAGGACATTTGGCTGCAGCCCTGGTTAGATTTGCACCAAGCATCACCTCCTCAGAGGGGAGAGAGAAATTCCAAAGTCCTGGGCAGCAAAGGGAGCAACAGGAGCACGCAGCGAGTCCCAGGTACCAACGAAGTTCTCCAGAGCTGCTGCCGCAACCGAAGTTATGGTCTCCTGGGTGGGCACAGGACACTGAGGCGGCAGACTCACCTATGGAAGCGGGTGGGTTCCTCTGCATTTGGTTTCCCCATCACTTGTGAGCCACCGTCACTGTGTCAGGAGCCTTTATTTTCAACCAGAAAAGCTTTGCCACTGATGCCCTGCCAGTCACCCAACACACAAGTGCTGTGAACTCACCTGGGCCGCCCACCAGCACTTCACAGGGCCTCTTGCTGGGGTGAAGCACTCAGGATGTCAGCTCTGTGGTGGGGAGGAGAGGAATCACCCTGCCACTAGCACAACAGCTGTGCCCGAGGCATCAGGGGCAATCAGGGCAGCCAGGCTGGGGCCTGTGGATGCACCAGTGAGTTGAGCACACAGCCCTGAGAACAGCACCAGCAAGAAGCAGCCCTGGCTAGAAACCATCTCCCAGGACCATAAAATGAGGCAAGTCCTACCCTGGCAGAACTCCTGGCCCGCAAGTACTTCTCCTGCATATGAGTTTCTGGAAACATGTGAGTGAGCAGGCGCTACACTGGGGTTTGTACACAGGAGCTGGCTGAGAACACGCAGCCCTGGGGGCTCCTGGGCAGCTTGTGCTGGTGCTAGGACGATGGGTATGGTCAAGCTCAGCTTACCCTGGAAGACTCCTGCTCCACAGAGCCAGTCTCCACAACCAGAGCCCCAGTCACCACAAAGGATCAGGACAGCTCAACACCGGTTCTGGCTTTATTGTCACCCACCCTGACATAGACTGGGGACATGGCCCCGAGGACGGTGTTACTGAGGATGAGCCTTCAGACGTTGTACCCGATAATGCCACGCTTGCCTATGATCTCTCCGATGTAAAACCACATCAGCACCTCTGTGGCCACCAGCCCGTTCCTCACCGCTTCCTGAAAGAAAAGAGAAAACCTGCTTCAACCCTCAGCTCCTTCAGCTTCTTGCGAGCAGCTCCCTCGGTTTCCATGGCACCAACAGAGCACATCAAGCCAGTGTGTCTTAGGAATTACTGCAGAATCCAGCCAGCAGGACCTCAGGAGGCTGCAGAACCTCCTCAGAGCAAAATAAATAGGATAAATGTAAGCGTGTATCTTGTATCATTTACATTTATCTTATAAATGCGGCTCTTTGGAAGCCGGCACCAACCGCCACACATCTTTGGAGGGTCAACCAGGTGGGGACAAAGCCCACTGCAGCACGCGTGACTCCTGCGGGCCCTGTCTCACGCTGCGTGGATGGGCTGATACACACGGGAGGGGGAGGAGGAGGAGGCAGCGGCTTGACCCGTGGGCTCAGAGCCCAGCAGGAGCCACAGGGACGCTGTGGAGCGATGCCGGGGCCCTCCCCGGTGCTGTGCCCCCAGCTCCCGCCCCGCCGTTACCCTGACGGTGAGCTGCGCCAGGCGGCCGGTCTGGAAGCCCCTGATCAAGGCTTTCATGCTGTCAACGGCGCGGGGGATCTCGGCGGGGGTCGGCGGGGCCAGCTCCACCTTGGCGTAGTACCAGAACGTGGCCAGGCGCGGCTTCGAGTACGCCACGGCGGCTGCGGCAGAGGGGAGAACACGCGTTTACCCAGCGGCTCGCGGCCCCCCCGATTCCCGCTCCCCCGTCCCCGTTCCCGGTGCTCACCGCTGAGGAGCTGCGGCCCGCGGGTGCTGAGGGCCTGCACCACCTTCTGCGCCATGTTGCTGCCCGGCCCAATGTCACCCCGCCGCGCCCGCGCCCACCCAGGCCCCCGCAGCCGCGGCTGCCCTTCGCGCCGCCTGACCCTGCCTCTCCAATCAGGCACCTGCGAGGGCAGCCCGCAAAGCCCCCGGGCCACGTGCGCGGGGCGGAGCGCGCCGCCGCGGGAGCCGCGAGTTCGAGACCCGAGGGTGCCGCTCCCGCCCCAGTCCGAGGCTGTCCTACAGCGAGGGCCGCCCCGCCGCTGCCAGACTCCAGCACCAGCTCTAAGATCATCTCCACCTTTAATTTCCAGCACCCCTCTGGCCCCAGCAGACATCAGGAAAACGAACGAGCATGTACAAGTTAGCACAACCGCCCCACATCTGACCCTGGGGACGGCGGCGCCTTCACACTGAGCCTATGGGCGTAGAAGGAATGGAACAGGGGGAAGGTTTTGGCGTGGCTGGGAAAGAACAAATGGGAGAGGGCCGGGGCCCCAGGACACACAGAGAGGCTGTGCTCTTCCCTACGCAGAGGCTCAAAGCTGTAGTGCAGTGGAAAGTCTTAGTATTAAACAGTAAGTCTCGAAAGGAAGAGACAGAACAAGGGAAGAAAGGGAAGGTCCAAGGATCGATGCCGACGTGGTACATCCTCAGTCAAGGTGGCAACTTGCTCTGGAGCTCCAGCCACTGCCCCACGAGGCATTTATCTGGCCGGTGATTGTAGGTCTAGGGCCAAGATCCCTGTTTTCAGTTCAGCGTATCCTCCAGCTCCTCCTTCTGCTTCTTCCTCTCTGCAAGCCACCGCTGGATCTTCTCTTTAAGCTCTCTGTTTGGTCTGATCTGGTCCATGGTGAGGGGGCTCCGGTTGAAAGGGTCTGTCTGATCACTGAAAGACAAAGCACGGAGGGGATCATTTGGACAGTCCCAGTGCTAGAAATAAAATGAGGAGCAGGAGAGGCCAGGAGGAGGCAGGAGACAAGTGAGACAGGCCTCCAAAAGCGCCGCTTACCTGAGGAGGTGCCGGGCTATAGTCGAGCGGTCCACGGTGACACGGGATGAGGGCAGGATCACGGGGTCAGACATCAGTGTGCTCATGATGGGGTCTAGAAACTCGTCACAGGCATCTGCGTACGTCTCCTCCTCCTGCTGCTGCCGGTCTGCAAGAGACTGGGCGGCACGTGGAGCCTTCAGCCACTGGGGCTTCTGGTTCTTTAACCTGGTTCTTTGCTCCTAGCCCACAGCTAAAGCGTTTACTGGTGGGTGCTGCCCCATGGGAGCCTCAGACAAAGCCCCGTTCCCAGAAATCCCTCCCCACAGCAAGACACAGGGATACACAGGCAGAACAACCACATCAGCAACCAGTCCCTCCTTTTCTGTGTGCCTAAATTCAGTGGGGTTCTCACCTTGATCCTCTCGGCCAGGTTGCTGAAGGACACGATCATGTTCCCAGGCTTGTTGATCTTCTTCAGGACCCGGACGGTCTGGGCGAAGAGCGTTGGCGAGTAGGAGCGGCCGTCCTTGGGCACCGTGGCACAGAAGTTTTCCTCATCCCTGGGCCGCAGGTGGAAAGAGAGCAAAGGTTTAAGAATCCACGTGTATCAGGCTGCAAAACGCAGCCCCCAGGACAGCAGCACTACTCCAGCAGAGAACTCAAGGCTAGAAAAAAGCCTGACTGCAATGAAGTGCTTCCCCCAGACCCTTTCCAGAGTGACCCAAGGTATGAACGTAACCATGATAAGTGTTTAGCTTCCAGCCATGCCACCTGGGCTGCGTCTGACTCCCTGGCATCATTGAGTTAAGACTGTTACAGAAGAGCACAGCATCCTGCCAAAAAGCCCACCAAGGGCCTCTGCTAGCCACAGTGTTCTCAGGATGTCTCCTGCCACCCCATGGACCAGCTCTCCCCATCACATACCCAAGGTTCAGGTAGATGGTGCAGATGTCAGACACGAGTTGCTGTGGCTTGAAGTCAAACTCACTGAAATCCTTCACTTTCAAAGCTCCCATTTTCGGCCCAACCAGGTGTTGCAGGAAGTAGTTGAGCATGGAGATGATGCGCTCCGCAAGGAACGGATGCACAAACAGGGACTTAATTTCTGGAACAGAAAGCAGCAGTTCCCTGAGCTCCAGAGCCACCCGGGCCCCAGCTCCCAGCAGGGGTTTTTGCTCTCCCTACCGGAGGTGAGGAAGGCCAGCGTGCCTATGGTTTCGTTGGACATGATGTTGTGGAAGCGTGCCAGCTGACCAAACATCTGCAGGCTGGACTCCTTCTCGCGACGAGCCTCCGGGGACAGGCTGTCCCACTCGCCACGGTCCTTCTCGATCTGCTGAACTTTGATCTTACTGAGGTACTGCAAAGACAGGGCAGGGAAGCAGCTGGGAGGACAGGCTGGCAAACAGGCAGTGGTGGCAAAGCCAGCCCTGTCCCGCACTGGGCCGGCACCAGAGGAACACCTCATAAACCCAAAGGAGAACACCCTGGAGACAAAGGGCCTTTGTCAGGATCACACCTGCAGCATGGCCGAGGGGATTTGATATTCAAAACCCCCAGAGGTTGTTTAAAGCCTGTCTGCATCCAGATAAGCAGCAGGGAAACTTCCCTGTGACTCTCCCAGCATGCTTCATGCTGGATCTGATGAAGTCCCTGAGCTCCTCTTCGGGATGCTCAGCCCTACCTGTATGGCTTCATCCAGTAGGAAAATGGCATCGTTCATGAGCAAGTTGAGGAAGCGCAAGAAGAGAGGGGGGTTCATTGCCTCCAGGTTCTCTGAGGCATAATCAGCCAGAGCCTGGAAGGAAGAAGCACGTGTTGAGCGCTTTGGGAGAGCCCAGGCCGGCACGCTCCCTAGGGAACTGCACAAACACACTTCCCAATGTCCTCCCGCCTCACCTTTATGCTCTGCCGGTAGGAATCCGTGCCCCACATGTACCTCAGGATGGGGTACATGGGGCGGCGGTAGTTAAACTTCTGCTCGAACTGGTGTGGATCACCTATGCACAGGTAAAGAAACATCTTTCCACGCAGCACTGGGCACAGGCACAGTACAACTGACCCCACTCTAGAAGGCGATGGGCAAGGACCCAATGCTACAGCATTGCAAAGCTGAAAAGCTTGAGCCCTGGAGGTCATCCTCTCTGGGTACATAGCTCTGCACAAACCAGAAGTTTGGGAATACCAATGTTGTGCTGGAATGTTGCAGGCCTGACGCAACCGAGCAGCTTAAAGCCAGAACAGATCCGTTTCAAACCCTGGGGACGCTCCCCCTGCAGCTGCCGCAGAGGGAAGAGCTCTCCCCTCTGGTGCTCACCCGTAAACTCGATATCCACAAAGACTCTGATGAGCGCCTCGGCCAAGTGGGCGGCGTTCTGGTACGAGCAGAACACGCGCTTGCGGTGGAACACGCTCGAGACGAGGGGGTTCTGCGCCTGGTCCAGGTGAGGCATCACAGCTTCCAGCACTTCTGCCAGCTTGGCTCGCAGGTGGGGGTTCTTCATCCTGCAAAAGAGCAAACCCAGCGCATCAGGAGGGTGCGGGATCAGGGAATGCTCCATCCCTGCAGGAGTGCCACCTTGCTGTGGACTGCCTGTAAAGCTAATGCTGGTGTTCAGAGCTTACTCGCTATACCGGAGCCACGGGCACAGGCACGCACTCAATACCACAGTTAAACCAGGCAGGGAGGACAGACGGTGTGGGAATGGCAAAGCTGTTGCTTCCATCCCTCCCACAACAGCTTTCTGGCAGTGGGAACAGCTCACAGCCCACACTGACTTGTTTGCTCCCTAGCAAACTTCTCGTTCATTCCGCAAATCCAAAGCATTTCACCTCCTGCCCAGTGCAAATCACCGAGCTGAGGGTACAGTTCTTGTCTGCCACACACATGGAGCAGAAGCCAAACCCACTGCCCAAGGCAGGAAGTGCCACAGCCTCCCTCTGCCAGGGCCAGCGGGGGGAGCAGGAGGAGCTGCCAACCAAGTGAAGCCTCCAGCACCCTGCTGTGTTTACACACGAGAATAAACAAAGGAGAGCAGAAATGCAGTGTCTGCGGCGGTGTTGTACCGGGAGGATCGATACCACTGCTCAGTCCTGCTCAGCTCCCACAGGAGCCTCCACAGAGATACTCCAAACAGATCAATCCCAGTGCCTTCCTCTAACAAGGACCAAAGGGGCTCCAGCTGACGAGGCTCCGGTGGAATATGACCAAACAGGTATTTAGACACTGAATCCCATCTACACCTCCTGTAACACCTGGGTCCTTCAGGCTGGGTCACATTCCCTGTACCTCCTACAGGCAGGACTGAGCTTTTCCAAAGGGATGAACCCACTCATGGCTGCATAAACCAAGCCCCAGTGCCTCTCCTGCAGCCTCCCCTCCTAGTCCCCCTTGAGAGCTCTGCCAGCACACAGGGCTCGCACCGTGGCTGTACGTACCTCTCCACGTCACCCATGAACACAGTGACAAAGTGAAGGATGTGCTCCAGGGAATCCGCAGATGTCTCCAAGATGTCATCAGCAAAACGCCGCAGGAAAATGAAGAAGTCACCCAAATTATCAGCAAAGAATTCTGCAAACAGAGACTGTGCATGAGTGCATGAGCTCTTCTCACCCTTCTCAGCCTCCCATCCACTCTCCCCTCATCACCCCCATTCTGGTTAAAGCTTTGGGACCTAACTGACTGTGTCGGAACACGCCAGACATGAGGGAAACCCAGCCCGATCCACACGGGATTCACTCCATCACAGGACCCGGCAGCTGTCTGCCCATCGTACGCAGTTACACACATCTCGAGACAACAGAGGACAAAAGGAGGACTTTGCACATGGAGAGAACAGTAAATTGAGAAGGTATTTAGTGGAAGTTTGCAGCACCATGCCCTGCTAGGGTCAGCCCTCCCAGTGCTCATCTGCATGGCACCAGGATCACAGCCTGTTAAGTGACCTCGGAGGTCCCAGCTGCCTTCAGAGCTTCTGACAAGTTGCAGCCGACATTCCCTACACATCCCAGCACCTTCTTTCCAAAGGCAGAATGTCCATTAAGCACCTCAGTGAGGCCCTGTGCAGGGTGAGCAGCACAGCACGAGGG